AGAACATTTGGAAAATAATTTGGGGATCTGGAATTTTTAAAAAGTTTAATTTCGAAATCGATAAAATTTGAAAATTTTAAAAATTTTGGAAATTTTGATATTTGGTAAAAAATATTTGAAAATGGGGAACAATTTTTGGTAATATTGAAAAAAATCAACTTTCAATTTGGAAAAAAATTGGAAGTTTTGAAAGAAAATCGAATTTGAAAATAAAAAAAAATGAATTTTGACGTTTGGAAAACAATTCGTTTTCGACAATTGGCAAATAATTGGAAATTTGGAAAATAATTTGAGCATCTGGAATTTTTTAAAAACTTTAGTTTTCGGAATCGAAAAAATTTGAAAAGTTTTTAAAATTTTGGAAATTTTGAAAATTAGTAATAAATTGTGAATTTAAAAAATGAATTTCAAATTTAGGAAAGAAACGGAAATTTTGAAGAAAATTATAAGTTCGTTGTCGCTTTGAAACTGTATATTCAGAAAATAAATTATAGTTTAAAAAACATGCAATTAAAAACAGAAAATGATTAAAAAATATAGTGATACAATAACATTCTCATAAAACTTCAATTTTGTAAATAGCATTTAATAAAATTATTCAATGTCAAGCACCCCCACGTTTATGTAATATTATTAATTTTTTTAAAATCATTCCTCAAAGCGTTTTTTTGATTTTTTCAAGTATAATTTATTCATATTTATATCTCTGTATTTAATTTATTATTTTCAATCAACTCTTGCTGGAATAGTAGGAATAGTAGAATATATTAATTTTTGGACATTAAATGGAAAATTTAATTGAGAGTCAACAAAAACCGCAAGGTATTTAAAATTTTCTATGTCAATATTTAGTTTAACATTTGTACATTTTTTCGTTTTACTTGTATTGAATTTGAGTTTGTTAGATGCTAACCATTTTGAAACAAGTTTCAAGTCTTTATTTATATAATAGCTACCAGTCTGTATATTATTCCGAGTACCTACTTATATGAATCAAACGGCGAAAATTTCAATTTTGCATTTTTTGACCATGGCAGGTAAATCGTTTATTATAAAGAAAAAAAATTGGTCACAGGATACTGTCCTGCGGAACACCTAACGTATTTTCAATTTTTGATGAAATAGTGTCCTCTCATAGATGCTTCTAGGATCATCAATGGTATTTTAAGTGGGTTTCTTCAGGTGGAATACGTTAATCAATGCCCGAAAGTGCCCAATTAAAATAGGGAACAGAAAGGTACCAAAAAAGGATTGATGATCGCAACGCCATCTATGAAACAATAGCAGATCCAATCACTGCTTTTCCAAAGTTTCTTTCTTCTTCCAGATCCCTTTTTGGACGAATAAATAAGCAAATCAAAAGAATTTTTTTGTATTTTTGCAGGCAAAACTAACATCTACTTTTTTAATAGTCTTTGGATTTTATTTTTTTGCCTTTGAGTAAACGTTAATTACTTCCGTTGTTTGATTTCTTAAATACACTGGATGGTTGCCAGTTTCTTTGTCTTGAAATTTGAATAATCTGCAGCACTTTGAACTATATAGAAAACAGTCTTTTTTCTCAGATCCTAGATCACTTCTAATTGACTCTTCAATATTTCATCTTCAGTTTTTTTTTGTTAGTTTTATATTCGAAATTTTAAGGTATGCATTTTTCGCAGGCGAAAGACGCAGGAAGCAAGCCGAAAGTCAGCTCGCAGAACTTTCCGCCAAATTAGCAGAAGTAGACAGATCAAGGGCAGAATTGCAGGAGAAGACGATCAAGCTTCAACAGGAGGTCGAGAACGCTGCTCAACAATTGGAACAAGCCGAACTCAAGTGAGTTTTGTTTTATATCAAAATTATTCCAAATATCGAATTAATGTCTCCCTCTGTCCATCTTGCTTTCCTTTGCTCTTTTTATTTATTTATGGCAACTGTACAGCATGTTGCAATAAATTTTGATTTGATTATCTATAAGACAAATAATAATAAAGCGTTTATTATTATATTTCTGTAGTCTATGGATATGAGTGTCAGTTTTTAACTATAAGAGCGATGTCATCCTGGAATCTTAATTTTTCTTCTTGCTTGTTTCTCAGAGCCTCTACAGCAATGAAGAACCAAGCCACGATAGAGTCTCAATTCGCTGAAGCTCAAGCGGCGTTAGAGGAGGAGACCAAGCAAAAGCTGTCTCTAAGCTCAAAATTGAGGCAAATTGGAGTCGGAGAAGGAGACGCTCCAGGAACAGATAGAAGAGGAGGAAGAAGCTAAGAAGAACCTTGAGAAACAGGTAATGTGTTAGTTCAAAAATGTATTTCCATTCTGTTGTTCATAACCAAAAATCGATTTTTTAGGAAGATAGATGAAAGTGCTTTATTAATCATTCTTAATGACAAAACTAACATTAAGCTAGAAATACATAAGTGGTTCTTAAGAAGGCAAGTTGTGGAGCTCACTCAAGGTATAATGTGGTTTGAGGAGAATTATTCAAAATATACCAGCAATTTGATAATCTGCAAAGTTTAAAAAATGCGTCGGTGAAGTGGTATATGGATTAATCAGAAGACTTTGGTCTTTCGTTTTGCAAAAAAAAATATCGTGACTATCTCGAAGGTGTGTATCGATAAAGACAAAGGTAAGTTTGAAAGCCTAAAGTATGCTTTTTCGAAATGTGTCGGAATTCTAACAGTCAGGCTCGTTTCTTACGCTCAAATGTTCATTTTTTCAATCGCTGTATAATTTTTATCATGCATATGCAATAGGCCAGGTTAAAGCCGGAAACATGGTGACTCTGTCATTTATCGAAAAGTACGCGAGGAATTTTGAAAAATCGGAACTTTTCAACGGAAACGAATAAAGAGATAAAAATACTTTTATCTTGCAGTCCGGAGTATGGGCATTCTTATGCAAAAGTCGCCAGGTCCGTATCTCAGTTATCTTCGGAGAAGATAGATCGTGACAGCGAAAAGCGCGCTTTATACGCAAATACGTCACTTGTCAAGTTCGTTTATTCGAAACGGGTGTCCTAAACGAAAAAAACTCTCTCTAGATAATTTATAGTACTCGTCGAGATGAACAAAATATGCCCGGCGAAATTCCTTTTCTCGGTGGCATACAGGAGATATCGAAGTTTTTACGGAAGTTCGCCATTTTTTTCGCTTTTTCTATGAAAACTGCTAGAAAAAAACTAAGTTGCGAATACAAAAAAGTGCCGGCCTATACGGAACGCTCATCATTCAGCTGTCAAACGAGACCGATGTTGTGTCGATATTTTTATAAACGGCGAAACTTTAGTTAAAAAAGTCTTCGTACTTCGCGAAAATCTACCATTTTTTCGACTTTGACCGCCGTTTTAGATCGCGTTTCTTCCTCTTACCTCGACAGTTCTTACGGTATCGTTTTTACTAATTGAAGATCTTCTTTTCGTCTAATATCATAAACTTATATTTAATGTTTCATATTCAGATTTACTTTCAAAAATAAGAGTTGCTGTGTCCACAAAAAATCAATGATACGGCAGTCATTATTTTAAAGATTGCTTTTAGTTACATATATATAATTAATTTTTGTTAAATAAGCACTATTTTAAACAATTTTGGGAAGAGACACAATAGAAATGCTGTATTCAATTTGTTTAAAAAAAATGTAAAGTAACTATTTTTTTTCTTATAATAACGGAAGTGTTTGCTAATGAGTAAGCAATTTGTCCTCATGATTAGTGAATCTAATTTATGGTCAATGATCAGACCTTAATTTTTATGGCGTCTGTTTTGTGTATCAATTCATTATTTAAATTTATGATAGAGTCAGGTAAGTTTTCATAGCCGAATTGGAATTATAATCACAAAAATATTCCTAATGTCGTCTTAAGGTGGCAAGTCATTTTTTAGATTCTTTTTTCAACTACGTGTTTGCAGCACTATTCTAAATCCTTTTCATCTGATAATTCCATGGTGTCTATAGAGATGACTAAAAAAACAATGTTTTCATTTTTTTGGCAAAAATTAATTTTGTGCATTGTTTATTCAATCGGAGTTTGTTAACAAATATAATTACAGCTCTGAAATTGTGTGTGAACATTCCTCTTTTATGGAAGAATGAAACAAGCGATTACTTTTGTTCTTGTCACTGTTTCGTTTCGAAAAATCTTTGATTTTTCAAAGAGAAGAAGTGGTAAGAATAAAAGTAATCACTTGTTACATTCAAAAAATAAGACTTGAACAACGCTTAAGAGACTGTGACACTTTGGATGTGCATCTATTCTAAGCCGAATGGGTATTTTTCGGATATACCCCGTAGAAATATCCAGACCAGAGCAAGACTTTTTCTGCATAATACTGTTTTTGTTTGAATAATATATTAGCGAAGGAATATCATTATTTTTTGTTCTGCACAGTTCTACTGCTTTTCGCGCTTGAATGCATTTGTCGGATCTTCAGAAGAATTAATTGAATTTAAAATATTTCTTACACTCGGCTGTGTATCTCAACACTTTCTGTTCGCTAGACTTCACAATACGTTCAATTTGAAATAATACACCGTCTTTGCAGAATACGCGGTTAGATATGTAATTTAAAATTGCTATTTTTTTTTTAATTCTATCGCATTTCGCGAGGTCTGTGTGATGCTTGTTATACACGGCTCAAAGAATGACCTTCGAGTGTTTTTAAATTGCTGTCATAGTGAATCTCTTCGTAATATAAATAGTATCAGTCGAAGTGATTTTAAACCATGTTTTCCACACGTGACACCCAGGATTCAAGGGATATGCGAGATTTATTTGAAGGTATGAACTTGTTTAGTTGGACTTCTGATGTAGGGAAACACAATTTTATCGGAGCTTCTTTAACTATAATCATCGTTGTTGAAGGGACATAAATTTGTACTTTTAGTAGCGTTTGTATAATAACATTTATACCTATATTCAATCGTTGTGAAGCCATTTGAGTTTATAATAAAATTCGACTAACTTAATTTGATATTGAAGCAAGAACATTCAGCATCAGTCAGTGTCATCGTATGTCATAGAAAATCTTTGCCTTTCGTTTCAAATTGTTAAGTCACCTACCCAGTTGTGATAAATATTGAACAATGACTTATCCAATTCAAGAAAGGATTGTATTTTTATTTTACTCTACTACCACTACTATACCAAAAACACTATTTAGCTTATTACCTATATAGGGTGACTTTGAAGTTGAGTCATTAATTTTCAGATAATGATCGTAGAAGGAAGATAAACCAAAATATGTGTGTAAAAATAAAAAAAAAATAAAAAAATGTTACCTTGTTTTATAAAGTATCCTCCCGACAAGTATTTCAGTGCGGACCTGTATTTGATCGTGCGGTCTTGGAGCACCGGCATGCCGTCCATATGTGAGGTCTTAAGTCAAACGATTCACGAACCCGTTGTACTACATTAACAAAGGCACGAGGGGTTGGTTGCACTCGATTGGGAAACCCCCCCCCAAGTTCAGCATTTTCGTAAACATGTGCCATTTTTTATTTCTTTGAGACACGCAACAGACACCACTATTCACTCACGCGTTACCGACTGACACTGACTGTATACAACTGAATAAAATAGTTGTAAAAACATCGTTCCAAATTCTTTCGCTTTTTTGTTTCCGATGCGATTAACCGATAAGGCGGATTATATCCGTTGTCGCCAAACACGAGCACATAATATTATTATTGAGACAGGGCGGTACTCAAACTTCTAAAGGTCTATAACTTTGTTAATTTAATTTTACCAGAAAAATGTTAAAGGAAAAAAACATTTCTTTTGATCAGATCTACTCGCTGTTAAATAAATGACTCAACTTCGAATCTAGTCATAATGAACTTGTATATCTTGTAGTTGTTGCCATGAATAATTTATTTTATTAAAAAAAAAACAGATGGAGGGTGATTTTATAAATTTTGTGATCTTACTTGGTTTCGTTTTGAGCAAAAGTTTATAATGTTTTTCCTCAACAGATGGCGGCGATGACCGCCCAGCTGGCCGAAGCGAAGAAAAAGGCCGAAGACGAAGCAGAACAGGCCGCCATATTGGAAGAGAGCAAGAAGAAACTCGCCAAGGATTTGGAAGCGCTGCAGAGGCAAGTTGAAGACTTGACAGCCGCCAACGATAAGCTGGAGAGGAGCAAGAAGAAGATCGCCGCCGAACTCGAGGTACGTGAGAAAGCAGAATTTTGACATTGAAGGTGTTTAACTTCATCACTGTTTTCCTTTCCCAGGACGCGAACATCGATCTGGAGACTCAACGCCAGAAAGTCTCCGAGCTGGAAAAGAAACAGAAGAACTTCGACAAGATCCTCGCCGAAGAAAAGGCAGTTAGCGAACAGCTCGGCACCGAAAAGGAAGCGGCCGAAAAGGAAGCCAGGGACAAGGAAACTCTCGTCCTGTCTCTGAAACGCGAACTGGACGATTCCAACGTGAAAATCGAAGAGTTGGAGAGGGTCAGGAGACAGTTGCAATCGGAGTTGGACGAGTTGGTGAATAACCAGGGTACCGCGGATAAGAATGTGCACGAGCTAGAAAAGGCGAAGAGATCGTTGGAGAGCCAACTTGCAGAGCTGAAGGCTCAGAATGAAGAGCTGGAAGACGAGCTGCAGCTGACCGAGGACGCCAAGTTGAGGCTGGAGGTTAACATGCAGGCGTTGAGAGCGCAGTTCGAGAGAGATATTCAGGTAAAAAAAAGTTAATTCAAATAATCAATTTTGTTTCAGGAAATAAATACTCTAGGCGCAGAAAGCTTTCTTGGAAAATGATATATAAATTTCCTGACTGTGAAAATAGTCCACGTACAACCGAAAATTTGCAGTGTTGTCAAATTAAACGATAGTCTAATTTTTTAAATACTGTTTCGATATGTTTAAATGTAGACGGCGATCCAAAAACACGAAACAACGTAGAAACATGGATTGTAAATATTTCCGTGTATTTTTTACTACTAATTTTGGCGCCTACAAAATCAACTATAAAACCTCTCAAATTCCGTTATACAATAAAAAAAGTATTTGCTTATTTCTTGAAAAGTAAAAGAAGGCTAGGTTTCAGCGAACTTTTTTATTGGTAGTTTGTCCGTAAACGCATATTAAAACAAGAAAGATTGATATTCAAATCAAGTTGGGTACTTTATTTTGAAGGTTCATTTGTACCATTTATGTATGAAAAATAATATCGCTCAAATGTTCGCCACGACTGAATTTACAGACGTCCACGCGACGGTCGAAATTTTCAATGACACTTTGCAACATGGTCGGTTCTATGGCATTTATCGCGGCAATGATGTTGTTTTTAAGTTCTTGGAGGGTGGCTGGTTTGTTGACGTAGACTTTGCTTTTCAAATATCCCCATACAAAGAAGTCCAAGGGAGTCAAATCGCACGATCACCGAAGAAGGACTGCAATTGAAGGATATTGACGTTGGTTGTGTGGCATGTTGCACCGTCTTGTTGGAAATAAACATCGCCCATATCCATTCCTTCAAGTTGCGGCAAAAAATAGTCCTCTATCATCACGTGCTTTCGCTCAGGATTGACGGTAACGGCGTCCCCGGCCGCATTTTCGAAAAAGTAAGGTCCGATGATGCCTTTTGACCACAATGCACACCACACAGTCACTTTTTGAGGAAGCATCGGCTGCTCTTGATATTTTCGTTCGCCCAGATGCGGCAGTTTTGCTTGTTTACCGTCCCATTCAAAGTGAAATGTGCTTCGTCGCTGAACATGATTTTTGATGAAAAATTGGCATCAATTTGGCGGTGTTCAAGGAGCCAATCTGAGAACGTTCGGCGCGAAAAATGGTCGGCTCTTGCGTCAATTGGATCTTGTAGGCGTGTACATTCAAATCCTTGTGGAGAATGCGGAGCAAACTGGTTCTCGAAATGCCCAATTCTTGGGATCGACGCGTTGTTGATTGTTTCGGATCGTCTCTCACACTCTCCTTCACAACAGCAATATTTTCCGGTGTGCGAACGCTCCTTGGCCGGCCAGAGCCTGGCAGATTTGCCACAGAAACTGTTGCCTCGAATTTACGCACCAGACGACCGACGGTTGTTTCGTTTGGGCGGTTGTTGCGACCGAAATGTTCGCGAAACGTGTTTTTTATTTTTGCACCATTTTTGTAGTGCTCTTGAATAACTTTAATACGGTCTTCAATCGAATACGACTCCATAGCGATCAATGGTAAACATTCAACTAACAAAATGACATGTCGGTGACAGAAAACAAAGATGGCGTCTATGTCAAATTGACGTTTACTTTCCTGCGTCCCTATTGGACAACCCAATACTAAGACTTTGAGAAACCCCACCCCTTTAAATAAAGCTGAATCATCAAAATTGAGTGAAATGAGCATCTACTTGGATAACTGAGTAGACTGAAAAGAATATGGCTTAAATTATATTTTTATCCTTTTATATTTCAGGCAAAAGAAGAACAAGCCGAAGAAAAACGAAGAGGTATATTGAAGCAACTGCGTGATTTGGAAGCGGAGCTGGACGAAGAAAGGAAACAAAGAGCCGCAGCTGTCAGCGCTAGAAAGAAGCTGGAGGGGGACATAAAGGAATTGGAAAGTCAGACTGAGTTACACATCAAGGTAAATTTTGTTTACAGTTGTTATTCGTCTTTTTTTTTATGAATAAAGGAATTGCTTATTTGTCAACGAATTTGAATAGATCGGAATGAGCCAGTAGCGGACAGAAGTTGGAAACATTCTTAGTAATTTTTAAAAAATGTGTTAATTTTAAATTTGTTATTCTTTATTTTTAAGAACTTTTTTTCTCGTATAGTTTGTTTACAGTCATGAGGATACAAATGACAATTTGTGTTCGCTGTGGTACTACAGACTAGCATTAAAATACCTTCATATTATTTTATGACTTATGACCAAACATATTTAAAAAAAAAATACTGCTTAGCTACTATTTTGTATGATAGCCTTTAGCATTCATCTGCTCCTCATAGAAGACACCAATTTTTTACAGACGTCTGTTGGGATATTTTACCAAATATTTTTTACATAATCAAATCGTTTCTATTTTGACATTTTTTTGTCAGCTGTCTTTTAACATGCTTCCAGATATGTTCTATAGGGTTTAGGTCCGGGATTGCGAAGGCCATGTAAGAACATTAACATTTTTTAGTCTTAACCAGTCTTTTCCGAACTTTGAGGTATGCTTGGGGTCATTGTCTTGTTTTAATATCCATAGTATTTCAGCAAAAGGGAGCATGTGTTCAATAAGAATATCTTTGTAAAGTTTTACCCAACAATTTTAACAATTGGCCCCGTTCCAGAACTAGAAAAGCAGCCCCAAACCATGATGTTGCCTCCACCGTGCTTAATTGTTGGCACTTTTAACAAATTTGTAACCTATGTTCCTGAGTATTATTTGGAATATCAAAAAAGTAGCAAATGGTATCTTAAGATACTTTGTACTTAGATTTTGCTTACAAGTGTGCTCCAATTTTAGCAGTGTACTCGGTATTTATAAACAAAAACTGGTTTCATTTTAATGCTTTTATTATCCGGTTCATGTTGAAAAAGGTAATAAAAACCATAGAAAAAATAGCACGTGAAAACTGTGTTCCAGTACATCTCAAAGCTTAGAGTTTTTCGGTGCAACATAGATACTTTGTCATGCGTTTTTTTTTTCTTGGGCATAAATGACATACTTTCCTTTTTTCCAAATCATCTTGGCGATGATGCGTTTGTACGGTTTCTATGACTAGAATACGACGAATATTGTCTCTAATTTCCCGAGGCAAATGTTTGTTAGCTGCTCCTCTCTCCGTATGTTCTTCAACTAGTTGTTTGGCTAACTGCTTTGCAAATATTGATTTCTCTTGTATTTTGACATCAATATGTAGATATATCTACCATTCGTAGAAATATGGCCTACGCGTTCGCCGACTTGTAGAGATTCTAGCGCATTTCTCGTCCAGCGAATCGACCCCACCTTTGGTAGAATTATAAAATGCGGTAACCCCTGGTTTATTTGTATCACTAGCAATTCGATGATGCATTGAAGAAATCAAACGTGTTGCTTTTCCTCTACGACTCACATCAGAAGGCAATGTCATGTTTTCCCTATATCCATACAATGTACTTCCGACTTCCTTTTTTCTGTTATATACTATATAATGGGTGATTTTTTTTGCTAGTATCTTTTTGGCAACACTGTTTTTGACAGATGACGCGTGAATCGTGTCTTGTGTCATTGTCAAACTTGTTCAGTTTGGTCTATAATTTAACCATGAATCGACTTACGAACGAACAACGCTTGCAAATTATTGAATTTTACTATCAAAATTCATGCTCGGTTAAGAGAGTGCATCGAGCACTGCTTCCAATTTATGGGCAATTTGGTTGACCTACTGAGGGAGCTTGTGACTAAATTTCGAACCCAGTTTACATTATTGGACATTAAACCACCAACACGCAAACGTAGAGTGAAGACTGAAGAAAATATTGCGGCTGTATCCGCCAGTGTCAGTGATGACCTTGAAATGTCGATTCGCCGACGTTCGCAGCAATTGGGCCTCTGTTACTCCACTACGAGGAAAATTTTGCGACAGGATTTGGGTGTAAAACCTTATAAGATACAGCTGGTGCAAGAATTGAAGCCACACGACCTCCCACAACGTTGCCCAGTTGGTGAATGGGCGCTGGCAAAGTTAGAGGAAGATCCACATTTTTATCGAAAAATTGTGTTCAGCGGCGAAGCTCATTTCTGGTCGAATGGGTACGTTAACAAGCAAAATTGCCGCATCTGGAGTGAAGACCGACCAGAAGCATTGCAAGAGCTACCAATGCATCCCGAAAAAATCACTGTTTGGTGTGGATTATGGGCCGGTGGCATCATCGGGCCGTACTTCTTCAAAGACGACAATGGCCGGAACGTAACTGTGAATGGCGAGCGCTACCGTGCGATGATAACAAACTTTTTTTGCCCAAAATGGAACAGCTGGACTTGGCTGACATGTGGTTTCAATTGAGAGTCGAGCTCGGTGAACAGTTTATCTCACTTTTAGGGCCCGTCAATTGGTCGCCCAGATCGTGTGATTTAACGCCGTTGGACTATTTCTTGTGGGGCCATGTTAAGGGATAAACCAGCAACGATTGACGCACTGGAAGCCAATATTGAAGCATTTATTCGTGAGATACCGGCCGATATGTTGGAGAGAGTGTGCCAAAATTGGACCTTGCGCATGGGCCATCTAAAGCGGAGCCGCGGCCAACATTTACATGAAATAATCTTCAAACATTAAATTATATCGACCGTTCTATCGACTCAAATAAAGATTCAATCGTTTTGTTCAAATTTTTTGTGTTTTTTTTTTAAATCAAATCCTATACCTCTTAAAACATCACCCGTTATATATATATAGCTCTACAGGCCTGAAGGACCCAAGGCTTTATTTGTAATTTCTTTCAATCTCTTCTTATTTTGACACATGAATTTCCAGTTTTGTACGCCTAAGCTTCTCAGATCAGTTTCTACTTCGCTCTTCCATCTTTCCTTCGATCTCCCTCTCCTCTTCTTGCCTCCTATGCTTCCGCTAACAATCATTTTTGAAATCCTATTGTCTGCCATCCTTTCTACATGCCCTAACGATTTCAACCTTTCTGCCCTTATATATCCTGTGATACTTGATTCTTTATACATATCTGCAAGGTCTTGCTTTGTTCTTCTTTCCCATACCCCATTGTTCTGTTTCCCTCCAAAAATTTTCCTTAACACCTTTCTTTCCCACACTTCTAGGGTATTTATATCTGCCTTCCTCAGTTTTGCTTGATTCGTGATTTTGGCAGGTGAACATTATGAAATGGCTTTCTCGGTCATCGGACGTTCTTTCGTTGGTTTCAGGTGAAAGAAGACGCGCTGAAACAGCTGAAAAAGTCGCAGCAACAGTGCAAAGAGGCGGTCAGAGAAGCGGAGGAATGCCGGGCGTCCAGAGACGAATTGGCGGCGGGATGCAAAGAGGCGGAAAGGAAAGCGAAGGCTATGGAAGCGGAAGTACTTCAACTGGCCGAAGAGGTGGCGGCTGCCGAAAGGGCCAGAAGGGCCGCCGAAGCGGAGAGAGACGAATTGTTAGAGGAGGTCAATAGCAGTAATAGCAAAGGTGAGTCTTTATTATTGTACTTTGCAACGTATTTTATACATAACTTTAAGATGCGATAGAACTTTTAAAATTAATGCATAAAGTCCGTATAAACATGGGTCGAAAAATGAGTGGCTTCCGAAATACAGGGCGTTTAAATTTACTTTTTAAAATAGTTTTTTTTTTGAATATTTCGAACAATATTTGATGTATAACAGTGAAACTTATTATACGAGGGTTTTTTTGGTACCACAAAACGAACCATGGGCATAGTTTTACTGTAGCCGCTAGAGGGCAATTTTTTGCTTTTTGAATAAAAAAACTGATTCTTCGCACTTTTCAACATAAAAAAGCTCTCCTGTGAGTTTTCGTTATAGTTAACCGTTTTTGAGATATTTCGATTTTTAAGGTTCGATGCATTTTTCATTATTTATGGGAAAATAATATTTTGTTTTACATTTTCGATTTGGGCATTACAAGTAATTAAGATGATCGTTTAGATTGTGGTTTTAAACACAGCAATAATTCCTAACTCCAAATAAACAGAAAAAAAACAGAATATTAATTTGTTTAATTTTCCAATATTATTTTTAACAAATTAATTTAATTTTTTACAACTAAAATGCTATTGGATAGTTAGGACAAAACTGAAACACCCTGTCATCGGCGAAAATCTGAATTTTGCATTTTTTGACTATGGGAGGTAAATCATTTATCTATAAAATAAAAAGAAGTGGTAGCAGGATACTGCCCTGTGGAACACCCAGCGCGTATTTCCAATTTTTGATAAAAAATTGTCATTAACTTTTGTAGCTTGCATCCTTTTAGACGAATAATTTCTAAACCAATCTAAAACACTTCCTGATATACCATACGCCTTCAATTTACCTAACAAAATGTCTCTATCAATCGTTTCAAATGCCCTCTTCAAATCCATAAAAACTGCTATGACAACTTCTTCTATCTTATTTATCTTCTATCTAATTTAAAGATTGTTAATTCCAATTTGATCCAAATTTATTCTTATAATCATTTAAAATTATATTTTATATTAACGATGTTATAATTAATTCTTAACAACATACAACTATTTATAATCAAAATAATCATATTTTAACTCATCAATATGACTCCTTTACTTTTAATTACAGCCTGGCAAATGATGGGTAAATGCGCAACTCATTTTTTAAAGTGGATGGTCTTATTTTTGGCCAGTCGTCTTGTAATATTTTCCATAAGTGTTCTTGAGATGTAGGACATTTCCGTACTCCAGCTCGATCGGATTCAAATCCGGTGATTAGGGAGGCTATTGCATTGTTCTTCTTTTGCTTCCAAAAATTGTTTACTATTTTAAATGGTGTTGAACGGTAGTGTACTTCTGTATGACAATCATTTTGTTCACTACCTATCGAACTGAACACTAAACCTAGCAATAGCAGTTATTTTGAAAAAAAAAGGATCTTTAGCGATAAAATTGCTTTTCTGATCACTCCCACTTTTAAGATCATCTAATCCATAAATCGAATTTGGGGAGCTAATTATGGCGAATAATTTTGCAGGTAGTCTCCTAATCGATGAAAAACGGCGGTTAGAAGCACGCATCGCCACATTAGAAGAAGAAATTGAGGAAGAACAAAGCACCAATGAACTGCTGCAAGATAGAGCAAGGAAAGCACAGCTCGCTGCTGAGCAGGTAATCTATAACGTTTTTCGAATAGGGCATTTCTTTTCTTTCAAGGAAACGAAACAGTATTTTTTTCTTTAACGAAGTACCAACGAGGCTTTTCATCAACGTCCTGTGGACTAATATTTAAAACCATATTCAAGGAGAAAAGAAACTTTAGTAACGTTTCAGCAGCCACTACCTCGGACTACTTCGTGACAAGACAGCCAAAACGTCGGTAAAGCTTCTTCTTCCATTAACGTCCTTTTTTTTAGATTTTTTTCCAACTCTGCAGCGGCATTCTGAATCCTTTTCATCTGATAATTTCATGGTGTGTATAGAGATAACTAAAAAACAATGTTTTCATTTTTTCTCAAAAAATGATTTTTTTTTGCATTTTTTCTGCAATCGGAACTTGTTAGCAAATACAAGTACAGCTCTGAAATTGTGTGTGAATATTCCTCTTTTATGGAAGAATGCAACGAGTGATTACTTTTGTTGTTATCACTTTTCCTTTTCGAAAAATCTCCGATTTTCTTGAAGCCTCGTCTCGCAGCTAGTTGAGTTTTCAAGAAAAGCAAATATTTTTCGAAAAGGAAAAGTGGTAAGAACAAAAGTAATCACTCGTTTCATTCTTGCATAAAAGAGAAATATTCACACACAATTTCAGAGCTGTACTTATATCTGTTAACAAGTTCCGATTGCAGAAAAAATGCACAAAAAATGCATTTTTTGACAAAAAAAAAAGAAAACGACGAACACCATGAAAGTATCAGATTAAAAGTATTTAGAACACTGCTACCAAACAGGAAGTTGAAAATAAATCTAAAAAAGGACGTGCCACCTTAAATATGGATATCATTGTTGCTGAAGAGAAACACTGTAGAGAAATTGCAATTGTTGAAGTTATATTTTGCGTTTTATATTGATTTTTTTTCTTTCCTAGGCTCAGGCAGACCTCGCCGCAGAACGTTCCGCCTTCCAGAAGCAGGAATCTCAACGGTTGCTGCTAGAAAGACAGAACAAGGAACTTAAGGCAAAACTTGCGGAGCTTGAAACAGCGCAACGTACCAAGACCAAGGCAACGATTGCAGCTCTCGAAAGCAAGATTAGCAATTTGGAGGAACAGCTCGAGGTATGCGATTCCAAAGTGATATCAAAACTTGTAAATATCTTTTTCTTCTATTTGAACTGTGAAATAAGTTCGTTCAGGAAAGATTAAAGTCGGTGAATCCAAGGTTTACTCTCGGAAGTCCCAGCGAAGATCAACAGAAAAAAATAAGACAAGGCGTTTCTTTTTATTTTGTTTTTTGTCCGGTTAGGAGAACATTTTCTCGTGTCCGCGTTCGTTCAAGAGAATTTCCGTCCAAGAGAAATTTGTTCGCAATTCGTAATTGATGTGAATAAATTTTATTCCTGTTGGGATTTCTAGTGGATTTAGAATGGCATTTTCTGCGATTTTCATCGATCGTTTCTTCTCAGGTGGAAGCGAAAGAGCGCCTCGCCGGCCAAAAGACGAACCGAAAACTGGACAAGAAAATAAAAGAACTGCTGATGCAGCTGGAGGACGAACGCAGACACGCAGACCAGTACAAAGAGCAAGTGGAGAAGAGCAACACGAGGGTGAAGACGTTGAAGAGGCAGTTAGACGAAGCCGAGGAGGAAATTGCGAGAGAGAAAGCGCAGAAGAGGAAGGCTCAGAGGGAATGCGAGGATATGCTGGAGAGCCACGAGAGCATGACGAGGGAGATCAACAACCTCAAGAGCAAACTCAGGTGAGATGAAGCATCGATTAACTATCCTCCCTGCTAGAACAGTAAAAACGGTTAACAAAGTAACATTACTCCAAAAATTAATAAACTAAATAATGATATAAAGTTTACTTGTAATTTGAAGATACTTGAAACAAAGTTGACGGAATATTTCACGGACAGGAAGGTTTTGGTTTTTCTCGAGCTACGGTTGGACATTTTGAACGAAGTCATACCAAGATGAACTAGACTAAAACTAAATTTCACCACTCCAAATTTTGGCTTGCTAACTTGGCCTGTTCAAAAGTGGCAGGCTGCAGCTTTTGAAAAGCACTGTATGTAAATATATACTTCACTTTTATTAGTATTTATTTAAGTAAAGATAACAAATGTACGTTAGATAAATTGCTGAATTAAGGACACAACATTTACTTAATAACTGCTTGCTATATTTGACATTTTAAAGGTTCGTAATTGTATGTCAGAAACGATAAACAAACCAACTGTGATTGAACAATTTTAGTATATTTTCTTCATGCACTTTGATCTCTAAATTTTGGGCTAATTTAGGGCTATGTGCGTCAGGCCCACTTTGGCCACTGTGAATACATGGTTTTACTGTTTTTGGTAGGGTAGATCGTGTAAGGTTTCAACTAATTGTTTCAGTAATAGGGTGTATTAAATTTATTCCGTGTCACTTTTTAATCTCAGCGCTTGAATATTTCGAAAACTACGCAGTCCAGAAAAAGCTTGAAAGAGAAGTTTTAGGGTTTTGGGGGTTGAAATTATGGTGACCTTGAGCATGATCTTGACAACGATCTTGAAGCCCATTTCAAGCTCAAATAAACACACACACAATGTTCAAAGAAGATCCTTCATTTTTATTCCGCAACTGGAAAAAGAAGGAAGTGCTACGTCCGAATGTGACCTTGACCCCAAAGTCAAGGTCATGCAAATCTTAAAATTTTTAACGCAACCCCTAGGCTCTTATTCTAAAATTGCAGATCAAGGAATTTATCATGAAACATTTACATGTTTGACATGAACTTGAGGGTCAAGGTCATGGTTAGGGTCACCTTTAGGTGATCACAAGACTCACCACTGTACTGGCGAACATTTTTGAAACAACAAATATCTTTCAACGACTCGGTTTGATCTTGAAATGGCCTTGAAGGTCATTGTGGTCATAATCAAGGTCATATTAGGAATTTCGGTGAAAAAAAGCGAGTTCTATTTGAAAATATTCGCTCGACCCAAAATTCTTTGGTTGCAGATAATAAAACGTTGACACTTTTGGCATGACCTTGAGGGTGATGGTCAAGGTCACATTTGGGTGATCCCCACAAAACTCGCCTCTGTGCTGGCGACCATTTTTGCTACAGCAGATATGTTTCAATGACTCGATTTGACTTTGAAATGGCCTTGAAGGTCATTGGGGTCATAATTAAGGTCATATTAGTATGTAAAATTCCCTCTTACGAATTTCGGTGGGAAAATGGACCTCTATTTGAAAATATTTGCTTGAGCTCTAAATGACCTTGAAAGTTGTTGTCAAGGTCATAGTTTCGTTTTGTTGCATATAAGAAAACGTTAAAATTTTTGACATGACCTTGAGGGTGATGGTCAAGGTGACATTTGTATGTTGCCCACAAAACTCAACATTGTGCTGGCGAACCTTTTTGGCTACAGCAGACATGTTTCAACGGTTCATTTTGACCTTGAAATGGCCTTGAAGGTCATAGTCAAGGTCATATTAGGATGTAAAATTCAATATTTCGAAAACTACGCAGCCCAGAAAAAGCTTGAAAGAGAAGTTTTAGGGTTTTGGGGGTTGAAATTATGGTGACCTTGAGCATGATCTTGACAACGATCTTGAAGCCCATTTCAAGCTCAAATAAACACTGTGTTTCAAAGAAGATCCTTCATTTTTATTCCGCAACTGGAAAAAGAAGGAAGTGCTACGTCCGAATGTGACCTTGACCCCAAAGTCAAGGTCATGCAAATCTTAAAATTTTTAAGGCAACCCCTAGGCTCTTATTCTATTCTAAAATTGCAGATCAAGGAATTTATCATGAAACATTTACATTTTTGACATGAACTTGAGGGTCAAGGTCATGGTTAGGGTCACCTTTGGGTGATCAAAAGACTCACCACTGTGCTGGCGAACATTTTTGAAACAACAAATATGTTTCAACGACTCGGTTTGATCTTGAAATGGCTTTGAAGGTCATTGTGGTCATAATCAAGGTCATATTAGGAATTTCGGTGAAAAAAAGCGAGTTCTATTTGAAAATATTCGCTCGACCCAAAATTCTTCGGTTGCAGATAATAAAACGTTTACACTTTTGGCATGACCTTGAGGGTGATGGTCAAGGTCACATTTGGATGATCCCCTCAAAGCTCGCCTCTGTGCTGGCGACCATTTTTGCTACAGCAGATATGTTTCAATGACTCGATTTGACTTTGAAATGGCCTTGAAGGTCATTGTGGTCATGATTAAAGTCATATTAGTATGTAAAATTCCCTCTTACCAATTTCGGTGGGAAAATGGACGTCTATTTGAAAATATTCGCTTGACCTCTAAATGACCTTGAAAGTTGTTGTCAAGGTCATAGTCTCGTTTTGTTGCATATAAGAAAACGTTAAAATTTTTGACATGACCTTGAGGGTGATGGTCAAGGTGACATTTGTATGTTGCCCACAAAACTCAACATTGTGCTGGCGAACCTTTTTGGCTACAGCAGACATGTTTCAACGGTTCATTTTGACCTTGAAATGGCCTTGAAGGTCATAGTCAAGGTCATATTAGGATGTAAAATTCAATATTTCGAAAACTACGCAGCCCAGAAAAAGCTTGAAAGAGAAGTTTTAGGGTTTTGGGGATTGAAATTATGGTGACCTTGAGCATGATCTTGACAACGATCTTGAAGCCCATTTCAAGCTCAAATAAACACTGTGTTTCAAAGAAGATCCTTCATTTTTATTCCGCAACTGGAAAAAGAAGGAAGTGCTACGTCCGAATGTGACCTTGACCCCAAAGTCAAGGTCATGCAAATCTTAAAATTTTTAAGGCAACCCCTAGGCTCTTATTCTATTCTAAAATTGCAGATCAAGGAATTTATCATGAAACATTTACATGTTTGATATGAACTTGAGGGTCAAGGTCATGGTTAGGGTCACCTTTGGGTGATCAAAAGACTCACCACTGTGCTGGCGAACATTTTTCAAACAACAAATATGTTTCAACGACTCGGTTTGATCTTGAAATGGCTTTGAAGGTCATTGTGGTCATAATCAAGGTCATATTAGGAATTTCGGTGAAAAAAAGCGAGTTCTATTTGAAAATATTCGCTCGACCCAAAATTCTTCGGTTGCAAATAATAAAACGTTTACACTTTTGGCATGACCTTGAGGGTGATGGTCAAGGTCACATTTGGGTGATCCCCACAAAGCTCGCCTCTGTGCTGGCGACCATTTTTGCTACAGCAGATATGTTTCAATGACTCGATTTGACTTTGAAATGGCCTTGAAGGTCATTGTGGTCATATTAGTATGTAAAATTCCCTCTTACCAATTTCGGTGGAAAATGGACCTCTATTTGAAAATATTCGCTTGACCTCTAAATGACCTTGAAGGTTGTTGTCAAGGTCATAGTTTCGTTTTGTTGCATATAAGAAAACTTTAAAATTTTTGACATGACCTTGAGGGTGATGGTCAAGGTGACATTTGTATGTTGCCTACAAAACTCAACATTGAGCTGGCGAACATTTTTGCTACAGCAGACATGTTTCAACGGTTCAGTTTGACCTTGAAATGGCCTTGAAGGTCATATTAGGATGTAAAATTCGATCTTTTCGGTGCAAAAATATTCGCGTGACCTTTAAATGACCTTGAAACTTGCTCTCATGGTCATGATTTCGGTTGGTTGGGTACAATAAAACGTATAAGTTTTTGACATGACCTTGAGTCACATTTGGGTGATCCCCACAAAGCTCACAACTGTATTGTCGAGTATTTTTTATGTTCAACGTTTCGATTTAACCTTGAAAAGGCCTTAAAGGTGCTCATAGTCAAGTACATATTTGGAGGTCAAATTTCCTCTTCCCAATTCCTGTGGAAAAAAGGGGAGCTCTATTTGAAAATATTCGCTTGACCTCGATATGACCTTGAAAGTCGCTGTCAAGGTCATGGCCAAGGTTGCCTACATTTTACCGCTTTCAAACCCTACAACTTTTGTTTGAAACGTTTTCGAAATATTTAGGCACCCTGCGCAGTCATAAAAAGTGTCAAATCGGACTTTGCTCAAAGGTTGTTGAAACTGCTAATGTCTTGTAGGATATACCCTGTTGCTGAATCACAAAAGTTATCGTATTTTAAATATCTGAATAATTATTTTCCAGCCTTAAAATATAGTACTCGGATAGAAATAGAGATTGGTATGTGATTGTTGGTGTACAAACGTGTGCTGCAAAATTCTCAAAAAGCAGATGATTTATGTTCTGGCTGTATAATTGGCTTACTACTTCTAACGCAATTTTGATTGGCTGCTCTTTAAGTATCTGTGATAACTCGGCGTTAAGTATACATTCATTTTACATTTTATACGTTATTTTAATAAATCATATACTTAACCGCTCCTCATTTCGTTTCAATTATTGTAATATCTAAATGAAAAATGGCAATATGCGCGTTTTTTTACAAGACTTACGAAAATTTGTGTGCATTCTCAGTTTTTGGCTTAACGCACACTGACTGCAGAAAAATTGTATAAAAGTCGGACATAAAAACGAATATTTTGTCTACCTTGAACAAGGCTACGAACGTAGAAAATCGTTCTTTTCATTTGTTAAAAGAGTCAATTGAAACTACTGCTTCAATGCTGCTGAATAGTGTTGTCGTTGTTTAAAATTCACACAAAATTTGTTTTGTTCTGTAACCACCACTTGCAAAGTGATTTCGATGGAACGTAATTGAGATGTGCTTTGTTTTTTAAGCGTTTCTCAGTTAACAACAACCCCTGCGTTTACAACAAACGAGCAGATTCAGACTAGTCTGCCAGAAACCATCAGAAAGTTGTGGGGGGTAACGTTCGACATGAAGTAAGTTCACGTTGGAGTTCATATCCCCGATTTGTGCATCTATCCCTCCGTTCTAACCAGCGAAGTTTTTATTTTGATGTTGAACTAACAATTTGAATGGCGTGTTCGTACAGTGCTGACCGAAGTCGCTGTCCCTTTTAGGTCTCCACGTGTACGAGAGAGAGAATCGCGTTAGGAAGAGTGCAGCTTATATGCAGTATATGCCGTTTTACAGACCGCAAGACACTTGCTATTCCGTTTGTTTTTGTCAAATCGGAAACGTTATGTACGCTCCGAGGGTACCGCCTTTGACCCTTTGCCCATTTGCAACGGGGTACCGCAGGGATCAGTACTTGGGCCCCTGCTGTTTATAATATATATCAATGACCTGTCCTCGCGTGTTGATAACGGATCATATATCCTATTTGCAAACGATACCACATTGCTATCTAGACGTGACCAAAACAGTAGCGTGGTTAGTCGCTAAAAGAAAACAATATATATCTGTAAACCACCGGACGGACCGGACCGTATATAATTTCTAATTTATTTAATTTAATTATTAACTATTCAATCAGAATCGCAAACTTGTGTGAAAAATCCAATTCAGCTGCAAGAAAATTAAAGGGATATACACGCTTCTCTCTCTCTCTCTCTCCCTTTCTTTCGTACACATTGGAAATCTAAAAAGAAAAACGATTTTGGCCATCACTGTATATTTTTAGCTATGCTGATTTCGAGAACTTGACTAAAGATTTTTGCAAATAACTGTAAAGTGTGAGGCTTTTAGGTAAGTTGCTACACTGAGGTCTTATAACAAATTGGTAAAAATGCTCCTTTTATCATGAAATTCAGAAAAATATATGTGTAGATGTAACATTTAAAAAGGCATCACAGGACGCTAAAGTGGTAGGTATTCCTAGTATTCAAAAGTTGCTAAAATGTAAAGGGAGGCCCAACGAGCAGGTCGCACCCTCTTTTGTGACTCTCTTGGTATGTTTTGGGAGAAATGCTTAATTTTTATTTCTAGGGGACGTCTTTTCATCTATAGGTATAAACTTTATTACAAAAAAACTTCAAAAAATTTAAAAAAACTAGGGTTTCCATTTAAAAATCTAAACTATAACGCAATATCTCATTTTTTTCATCACGGCTATAGATGAAAAGACGTCCCCCGAGAAATCAAAATTGACGTGTCCGAGAGTTTTTCCCAAAACATCACAAATAGGGGTGCGACCTTTCCGTTAGGTCACCCTGTATCCGTATTCTCCTGTAGCGGCGTGTCAGTGACGACATCGCCGCAGACCAGACGAGTACTAAAGATGTTACAATAACAAAGCTCTACCCCTACAAAAAAAAATTCCAAAAATTTTAAATGTAAAACACAAACTTTTAGCGATTTTTATTTTTGTTCGTGTTGTTGCCCTAGCTCCGCCACCACTGGACCGGTTTTCAAAAACTTCATCCTTGGCATAGTAGCAAGCTTGTGTGAAAATTTCATCAAAATCCGAGCGATACTTCTCAAATTATAAAATTAGCTGTTAAACCGAAAATCATAATTTCTAAATTTTTCGCGGTTGTAGTACTTCCTGGCCAGTTTTCGCAAAACATTACTCGGTCCTGACTGATTGTTAGTTTTGTCAAACACGATGAATTTGACTATGTTGGATGTATGCCATTTTCAGACGAGGTACCATGGGCATTTCCTCCTCCCGGCTGAGCTCGAGCACCAAACGTGGTTCCGTTCAAACCTCATCGACCACAGGAAGCGGAAACGGAAGTGGAGACGACTCCACCACTCAGGATGAGGCCATGGACGGCGACGACGCTCCAAATTAGACTTCAAATTGGAAACCAACTCAGTCGCTATGCATTTAATAGACCACGATGTACTAGACGCCAGCTTGGAAAACTGCTTTCGAAAATTGAATGTGGGTCACTCTCGAAGCGGCGCTGGACTCACAGAGTGTATCGTGCGTATTTTCTCGCGAAAGAGACTGCGGTGAATTGTTTCTATGGAAATGTCAAAAATTAAACATACTTTTCGATCAATTTTGAGTTTCACATGCAATTTAAGGATATAGAGACAACGTTGACCATATGAATTTGACATTTGGTTTAAAGGTTCAGTAACTTTTCAAGGGTGCAATTGACTATATATTACGTGGTCTGTTTCCAAGATTTTGAAGTTTAAAGCTTAAAATTGTACCCACGAAGAAATTTGAAGCAACATTTATACATGCAAAAATAAGGATTTTTTCGAGTGGCCCACGTTGTTGCAATTTTATTATGATTCACTACGTACTGCATTTAAACGTTCTCCTTTAAAAGGAAAAGCGTGAAACGGTTGAGTTACTTTTTTTTCATTTTGAAACTTTATATGTTTGGGTCTAAATTACATTTATTGCAGTAAGATTATGTTGTCCTGGTGTTTAAGCGAAAGCTTTGAGGTCTGCTCACAATGTCGTATCGAGCACGTGCACCGAGGATTAAAAAAAATTCTGTGGGAACCTCAAAACAGCCCCTGCATTCAGGCTTCTGCGTGCGAGGCTGCTTTGGTGTGAAAAAAACGTCTCCTGAAAATTGAGGTCCCGTTTTTAATGTGTACTCGCTCTAGCATACGTGATTCTATGTCTATCTGTCTCATATACAGGGTTGGCCATAGTAAAATTCACTTTTGAAAACAATGTAAATAAAAGAGTTTGCTATTTTTTATGATATAAAGGAGGCAATTTATGTTTTGAAAATGATATCAATTTGGTTTCCAGATGTTCGAAACGGCACCTCAAACGTCCCTTTTTTTAGATATCTTTTCAATTTCCTATTTGCAACAGTATTTTGTCAAAAAATGCATTTTTCAATCGGAACTTGTTAACAAATATAAGTACAGCTCTGAAATTGTGTGTGAATATTCCTCTTTTATGCAAGAATGAAACGAGTGATTACTATTGTTCTTATCACTTTTCCTTTTCAAAAAATCTTTGATTTTCTTGAAGCAAAAAGAGCAAAAGTAATCACTCGTTTCATTCTTGCATAAAATAGGAATATTCACATACAATTTCAGAGCTGTACTTATATTTGCTAACACGTTCCGATAGCAGAAACAATGCACAAAGAATGCATTTTTTGACAAAAAATTGAAAACATTGTTTTTTAGCCTTCTCTATACAGGCCATGAAATTATCAGAATTTAGAAGATTGCTGCAAACAGAAAGTTGAAAAAATCTAAAAAAGGGACGTACCACCTTAAGCACTAATTGCTATCATATTTTGGATGGAACTTGAGGAAAAGAACCTCATTTCCCATCTTTCACCTCCAAAATTTATCGATCATATTTACCTACATTTGGAATGCCTCAATCCAAACGCGTATGTCACCATCAAAATCACTCTAAATTATGACACGATTCTAGTACGATACGCTAAAATGAACAGGCCTTAATTTTTTTATACAGGGTGCTTCGTGCTTGAATGAGCATAGTAAATTATACCGAGACCTTTTTTATCAGACAATAAAAATGTTCTACGTTCAGTTTTTAAGGATAAACAGGGTGGAACTTTTTTATGTTCAGATATGTTTTTCACTGTGCCAATTCGAGTACGAAACGCTCTGTATACGTGCTGAAATTTATTTTTGGACTAAATTCAATATGTGCCTTTGATATAAATTTTCTTGATTTTCGATTGACTGGACGAAGGTGGTAATAATTTAATTCTTATCGCATCTGAACGACTGGTTTGGTATCTGTATATGAAAAATATGCTTATTTGTATATTTTATATAGTACTTAGAGGACGCCACTGTCCGCATTTAATATATATACACACTCGCTTTGTTTTGTTATATAACGTCGAGAGCAGCATTTACCTACTTTACTTTTTTTTATTCTTTATTTTCGCATTTTATTTATATACACACATGAATTTGTAGTACGTTGATTTTCATTTACCCTCGGTACTTTTATTACATTAATTAAGTGATAAACTTATGTATAATTTATTTAGTATCACTTCTTTTTTCCTAATCGAGTTCGCCATATGATCGGTCAGATTGTTTTCAAATAAATTTTTTTTGTTGCATTTCTGATCGATGATTCAGCGGAAATCGTGCTAATCGGGTACATATAACTTTTATACTAAGCAACGCTATTAAAAAATAAAATGAACTAGCTGTAGCTATTAACCTTTTGATACATATTTTGTAGAAATATATATTTTGTAAAAATCAACTATATTTTAGTCTGAAACCGTTTTTGATATGCACGTTTTTGTATTATAAAGACAATTTCCTGCATCTTGTAAATATTCTAATTTGTATCAGGGTTAGGGGTTCATCATACTTAACTGATGAATAAAATTTTATAAAACCCACTTTGTTTGCTTTTTCTATTCCCCATTCCCCGAGCATTACTTTCGGCGCACAATTCTAGCTGCACAACTTGTCAACTTCCAGGTGGAATTGATTAAATTTACCCAATAAAAGTGATAAAGTAGTTCGTCTACCGGCCGATAGATGGCGCTTCTTTGTAAAGTGCTGTCACAGACCTCACAAAATTTAACTATGGCAACGAATGTTCAATGATCAAGGATCTTAAATTTCCGTGAGGGGGGTTAAAATCCCCCCATTTTTTGATTTTATTAGTTTATTATATTCTAATATTACCTATTGGATTTGGCTTTGTTGAAAAACAAAGCGTCCTCCTCCTTGCTTGCATTGGGGTTCACTGAACGGATTTCAGCAGCTCAAGGTAGTCATTCAAAATGGTGGACCTTATGGCAGCTACCGATATGCAGCGCCATCTATTGGAGAGTAGCCGCCACAAAAAAAAATTCGTTCAGTTGGGCTACCAACCGCTAGATGGTGCTTCTTTGTAAAGTGCTATCGCAGACCTCACAAAATTTAACTAGTCAAAAAGATCCTTTAGGGGTGGTTGGCCGGGGTTCGGGATGGGTCTATGGCAACGAATCTTCAATGATCAAGGATCTTAAATTTCCGTGAGGGGGGTTAAAATCCCCCCATTTTTTGATGAAAAGATTATTTTAATATATTCTAATATTACGTGTTAGATTTGGCTTTGTTGAAAAACAAAGCGTCCTCCTCCTTGCTTGCATTGGGGATTACTGAACGGATTTCAGCAGCTCAAGGTAGTCATTCAAATGGTGGACCTTATGGCAGCTAACGATATGCAGCGCCATCTATTGGAGAGTTACAAATATATTTTCGTTGGCGTAACTGGGTTACCGATATGACTTAATTCCAAATGGAAAAGATTAAATGTGCATAATAAAAGTGATATAAAATAGTTCGTCTACCGTCCGATAGATGGCGCTGTCGACCGCTTGCGATTATACGTTGCACAAATTTCAATGACTACCCAGGACATTTCTTTCAACTTCGGTAAACCTTTTTTTGCTTATGAGAAGGACGTTAATATGAAATAAAATACGATTTATATATTCTATATTTTATTAGAATTTGCAGCAAAATATTGTCATAGACAAATCAAGGTACATAAAAACAGTTAAATACATAACTTGTACAAGTTCTTAATGTAATCTAAAGGTACTTAAAAATAAGTGTTTTGCTTTTAGTTTGTCAGAGAAATAAATGCAAAAGACAGTGATCAACAAAATCAATAATGGTGTCAAAACGTCGGCCGATATAGGTTTAATAAATAAACCATTTTTTTCACTGTTGATTTTTTAAATTATTACAGAGTTTTCTTCAATTTGGATGCCTGTTTTTTTGTGATCATATAATTTGTGCTAGTGAAAAAAGAGAGGTGAAATTTTCAGTACTTCAGGAAATAATCAACTGTGATCAAATTGGCCCTTGAAAAATCAGCACGACTGTCCCATTGATAAAAACTATGAAACTGATTACAAACATGTAAGTTCTAGAAAGTAATAAGTGGATATGACGTGACAAACCTTCCATATGGTCAGATAGTGCTTGAATTTAACCAAGCTACATCTTTCCGTTTTGATTGATTACAGAGCAAGCCGAATCCAACACGAGCAACGTGCATTTTATAACCGAATTATGACATACGACGCATAAATTGGGTTGACTAGTTTATCTAATGTTCCGTGCTGTACGGCACACCCTGTATATAAATTTACATCCACCATTTTTGATCTGGGAGAAACCCAGCATCAGGGAGAGACTGCTGTCAGAAAAGAAGTTTTTTAGAATTAAGTTCCAAACATGGAAAAATATTCTGATTGAAAAATCATGGCCTAAAAAAATTGTAACGATTTTTTATACAAATTTTTAAAATTGTTTTTTCGCCCCAGGACAAGTTTTCTTTGTTTTTGGTCATTACGAACAAAAAAGGTTCTTATGAAATTTTTTTAAGGTTTATAGTTTTCAAGATATAAGTACTCAATATTTGAAAAATGCAAAATGTGGTAGTTTTGACCCCAAAAACAATATAAAAAACGAAAATTTTAATGTTACCAAAGATCCTAAATATTCTTCAAATGCCCGTCAATAAACTCTCAAAACAATTTAGGAAGAATTTTTAAGGCAAATGCTTGTTTTTTAATTGTTTCTAAAGAAAACTGAAATGTTTCGGGACTTTGTTAAACGATATTTAGGAATTTGGCAGCATTAAAATTATCATTTTTCATACTGTTTTTGGGAACCGAAATTACGTTTTTTACTTTGTCACATATTAAATTGGTTATATCTTGAAAACTATCAACTCTAGAGAAAACTCCACGAAAACGATATTTTTAAACAAATTTTCAAAATTTGCCCCAGGCAAAGTTTTCGTTGTTTTTTTGTGGCATTCGGAACAAGAAAAGTTCTTATGGACTTTTTTGAGGTTTATGGTTTTTAAGATATCAGAATTCAATATTTAAAAAATGCAAAATGTGGTACTTTCGACCTCGAAAAATTTTAATGTCAAAATTCCTAAATGTTCGTCAAATACCCCGCAACAAACTTGGGAGGAATTTTTAATACAAACCTTTAATCGCTAAGATACGAAGAATAATTAAGAAACAAAAGTTTGCAATAACAATACCCCCTTAAATATTTCGGGATTTGGTTAAGGAATGTTTGAAGAATACCTACTAGGTACTTTGGCGACATCAAAATTATCATTTTTTTATATTGTTTTTGGGACTGAAACTTTGTCAAATACTAAGTCGCTTGTGTCTTGAAAATTATCAACTCTAGAGAAAAGTCCATAAGGCCCTTTTTTGTTTAAAATGACACAAGGTACCTAAACAAACGCCCGAAGCGAACATTTTTTTGTTCAAACCTAACAAATTTCTGATGTAATTTTGAGCCAGGAAGATTCGTTAAAGGCAGATGCAAAAAAAATCAGAATATTTTTTCAAACAGCTGCAAAGATCGTGTTTTTTTCGGTAATATGTGTAGAATCTCCCTGATAATAACATGTGTTTTCTGTTCAATATGTCATGATTTGTGCTTGTAACGATGATATACACTGAAAAAAACGTGTGATCCAAAAACTGTTTCATTATTAGTTTTCCGTTTCATTTAAATCCGAAGTATTCACTAATTGGGAGCTTTTAAGTCTCAATTTTTGGACCACCGTTTATATGGAAAGTAGAAAATTGAGAAATAGTGTGAGTCTTAGATATTTACACGAACAACTATGTTACTACGTTTTTGTTAATACATATTGCAGTTGTACAAACTTAAACGTACAAGATGAATCACTTATCAATCACATTATACAGGGTGTTTAAAAATTTAACGCACCCCCTCCATCTCCGAAAATACTGCTTCAACAAAAAAATTATCACGACAAAAGTTTCAGGACTTTGAGAGAACAATTATTTAGAATCTTGGCCGTGACTATGAACTTCAAACACATTGAAGGTCAGCTTTAAAATTTTTAATGGCGGAAATACCGCCTCTAAATTACGATTTCATGTTAAGTTTCCAAGATAACCTTTCAAGGTCAAGGTCAATTTCAATATCATTTTCGCTCTTCCTTGGTGAGGTCAAAAAAGTATGATTCCATTTAAAAATTTCATCTCGACCTTTAAATGATCTTGAACGTTATTTTGAAGGTCATCATTAGATTGTTTTCCTAAAAAAGTGTAACGTTTTTCTTAACCTTTTTTTTTATTTTCTGTAATACGGGGAGGTGTCATCAAGATATGACGAAAAAACAATATATAAAAAAATTTTAATGTGGCCAAAGTTTCTAATTATTCTTCGAATACAATTTAGGGGGAATATTTAATGCAAATCTTGGTTTTTTAATCGTTAATTAAGCAACAAGATACGAATAATAAAAAACAAAAGTTTGCAATAACAATACTCCCTAAAATACTTCGGGATTCTGTTAACGAATGTTTGAAAAATATTAAGGAACTTTGGCAACACTAAATTATCGTTTTTCCATACTGTTTTTGGAATCATCATCATTAGAAAAAGTCCACAAAAACGATTTATTTATAAATAAATTTCCAAAATTGTTTTTTTAGTTCCGGGCAAAGTTTTCTTTAATTTGTTGTGCCATTCCGAATAAAAAACGTTCTTATAAACTTTTTAAAGGTTTATAATTTTTAAGACATAATTCATTATTTGCGGAATGCAAAATGTGGTACTTTCGACCCAGAAAAAACACTATAAAAAACGAAAATGTTAATGTTGCCGAAGTTTCTAAATATTCTTCGAATACAATTTAGGAGGAATATTTAATGCAAATCTTGGTTTTTTAATCGTTAATTAAGCAACAAGATACGAATAATAAAAAACAAAAGTTTGCAATAACAATACTCCCTAAAATACTTCGGGATTCTGTTAACGAATGTTTGAAGAATATTAAGGAACTTTGGCAACACTAAATTATCGTTTTTCGATACTGTTTTTGGAATCATCATCATTAGAAAAAGTCCACAAAAACGATATTTTTAAATAAATTTCCAAAATTGTTTTTTTCGCTCCGGACAAAGTTTTCTTTAATTTGTTGAGCCATTCCGAATAAAAAACGTTCTTATAAACTTTTTAAAGGTTTATAATTTTTGAGACATAAGAATTCAATATTTACAGAATGCAAAATGCGGTACTTTCAACCCCGAAAAAACACTATAAAAAACGAAAATTTTAATGTTGCGGAAGTTTCTGAATATTCTTCGAATACAATTTAGGAGGAATATTTAATGCAAATCTTGGTTTTTTAATCGTTAATTAAGCAACAAGATACGAATAATAAAAAACAAAAGTTTGCAATAACAATACTACCTAAAATACTTCGGGATTCTGTCAACGAATGTTTGAAGAATATTAAGGAACTTTGGCAACACTAAATTATCGTTTTTCGATACTGTTTTTGGAATCATCATCATCATTAGAAAAAGTCCACAAAAACGATATTTTTAAATAAATTTCCAAAATTGTTTTTTCCGCTCCGGGCAAAGTTTTCTTTAATTTGTTGTGCCATTCCGAATAAAAAACGTTCTTATAAACTTTTTAAAGGTTTATAATTTTTAAGACATAAGAATTCAATATTTGCAGAATGCAAAATGTGGTACTTTCGACCCCGAAAAAACACTATAAAAAACGAAAATTTTAATGTTGCCGAAGTTTCTAAATATTCTTCGAATACAATTTAGGAGGAATATTTAATGCAAATCTTGGTTTTTTAATCGTTAATTAAGCAACAAGATACGAATAATAAAAAACAAAAGTTTGCAATAACAATACTCCGTAAAATACTTCGGGATTCTGTTAACGAATGTTTGAAGAATATTAAGGAACTTTGGCAACACTACATTATCGTTTTTCGATACTGTTTTTGGAATCATCATCATCATTAGAAAAAAGTCCACAAAAACGATATTTTTAAATAAATTTCCAAAATTGTTTTTTTCGCTCCGGGCAAAGTTTTCTTTAATTTGTTGAGCCATTCCGAATAAAAAACGTTCTTATAAACTTTTTAAAGGTTTATAATTTTTGAGACATAAGAATTCAATATTTGCAGAATGCAAAATGCGGTACTTTCAACCCCGAAAAAACACTATAAAACACGAAAATTTTAATGTTGCCGAAGTTCCTAGAGATTCTTCAAAACAATTTAGGAGGAATTTTCAACGCAAACCTTTGTTTTTTAATTGGAACTTAAGCAGTAAGGTACGTAAATTAAAAAACAAAGACTTCATTAACAGAAAAAAACTTAAATGTTTCGGGAGTTTGTTAACGAATGTTTGAAGAATATTTAGGCAACATTAAGATTATCGCTTTTCATATTGTTTTTTGGATAGAAAATTACGTTTTTTTTGCTTGTCAAATATTGAATTGATTATATTCTGAAAACTATCAATTCTAGAGGAAAGTCCACGAAAACGATATTTTCAAAATTATTATTAAATGATTCTGAAGGTTATTTTCAAGGTCGGTGTCAAGGTCACCATTAGATTGTTTTCCTAAAACCCTGTAGCGTTTTTCTTGACCCTTTTTTTTGTGTTTGAGTAGAATTTTCGGTAAAAAGGGGAGGTGCCGGAAAGTTATTGAATACCCTGTATATATTCATACTTCAATATTATAAGAAGCAATATTTTGTCAAATGTCAGATAGAAACTGATATACATAGATGTATGTACACCTCAAGAGACATTTGAAGAAAAAGCTTTTTTTAGGAGAAACAGTAGAAAACTTTTGATAAGTGACTCACCCTGTACACGAACAAAAGTAAAAAATAACAATCTCTTACCGATAATACTAAATATCTGCACAACTATATATAGGTAATCGCCTATATACGTATATATAAATACAATGAGAAAAAATCGCAATAATAAACTTAAAGGCTATTAAATACTTTTTTGTTTGTTATGTACACATACAGAGTAAATAAATTCATATATTCATTGAAAAAAAAAACAGACATTTTTGGGGAATGTTACCTTTGGTATAATTATGTTGGTAAAGGTTTTGTGTTTTCTAACCATACATCTAATATAATACAGAGAGATGTATACAGGAAGTACCAAAATTATACCAAGAGCATGGAACTTGTGAGAAGCTCCGCATTTTTTTTTTACTCTTAGCCATAATTTAGAAGATTCCTGTACTATCAATAAATATCTAAGCAACTAAAACATATAATTCTCGCAATGTTTATATATTCTTTAAGAAACAATATCACAAGAAAACGAAAAACGTGTCCACTTTTTGAGACATATCATGTGATGTTGATAATCGACATTTTTCAAATTCAGAAGAGGCGCTTATAAAAGAAAACGTGAATGTCTGGAAAAATCACTTGAACTGTTTAACCAAATCTAATAAGGTATTATTTTCCACATAAAATAAGATCATAAATCATTGATGATTGAGACTCGATTTTAATTCCATGACAATAATAATATCTATTAAGATTTGTATTTAATTTTGAATATTCATAACTCGTGCAACAGGCTATTTTGATTTTACAGAACGAGGATTTTTGTCCGAATTAATTAAAAAAAGGTAAACGTTGATGTGTCAGATTTCTCAAGTGATAGTTCCACAAAATAGCAATTATGAGTTTTAAATATTAAAACGATAATTACTAACGTCAAACTAATAAACAAAATCGTTTATTCTAGACAAAGAATGTTTCGTAACTAAAAAATTTTTGAAACTCAAACACAACAAGGGAATCTAGTAGCTTTGTTATTTACGGGCGATTTGAAAAGAAAATTTGAAGTGAAGCTGAAATTACTGACTGGTTTTTCATAATTATTACCGTTTTAACGGATGCATGAAATGAACGTTTTGTAGTCCTTAAATAAGCTTTTTATAACCGATTCGACCTACTGATTATCTCAAGTTATAATTTTAATTTTGAAGTTACATGTATGTATTCTAAACTGGAGATCTGTCACCAGTGGGGGTATAATCTTTTAACAGTTCCCTTAGCCTGATGATTTCCTTCGTAGCGACGGCCAAGTCGCTTTGCAGACCGAGTTCCTTTTCCCTTAGCCTTTTTATGTCACGTTGACAGTTCTGAAATAAAAAAATGCAGATCGATAAACGCTTCGAGACGCCGATGGTTAATTTTTGGATAGTTACGTGGAGGAAGGGAAGGAAGAGCTTACCACATTCTGCCTGAGCAGATCCAACTTATCGCACTTCAACCTGGTGACCTCGTGCATCAGCTGTTCCGGAGTCGGGCCGTTCTCCCTGCTGCAAGGCCTTTCTTGCTGCGCCACTGTCGCGACAGACACCTGTTGCTGCTGCTGTTGACAGACCGTGCAGGATGCCTTGTTGACGTTAGCAGCCGTTTCTGCGCTGCTCATGCTCTCTAGGCCGGTGTCACTGTCAATGTATCTGTAAAAAAGAAAATGATAGAGGTTGAACCACCTAGGTTGAGAGAAACTTCGACCTCAGGGCGGTATTCTCAGTTGTTCCTACAATTATTGTAGGATGCCTTTATGTACAGTTTTCTCCTGTTCCGTGTCAGCGCTCTATTTTGAGGTTATGTTACAAATATCTATTTGCATCAAATTGTTCACGCTTTCGATTTATATCATCTGTTTTATCAGCCTGGAATTTCCTACAGTTCAAAAAGAAAACATAACCTCACAATATGAGAGCGCTGACGCTGACATGGAACAGCAGAAATCTAGAAATGCCCCAGCCATTCTGAAGGAGAGAAAATACTATGAAAATCAAGGACGCCTATATGGCCTTCTTGATTTTCATAGTTTTGTACTGTTCCGTGTTAGCGCTGTATTTTGAGGTTATGTCACAAATATCTATTTGCATCAAAATATCTATGCTTTTGATTTATATCATCAGTTTCATCAGCCTGAAATTTCATAAAGTTGAAAAAGAAAACATAACCTCACAATGTGACAGCGCCGACACTGAAACGGAACAGTAGTCATTCCGAAATAGGCCTTTTTGGAGGAGAGAAAATACTATGAAAATCAAGCAGGCCATAAAGGCGTCCAACAATGGTAGGACGCCTTTATGGCCTGCTTGATTTTCGTAGTTTTCTACTCTTACGTGTCAGCGCTCTGTTTGAGGTTATGTTATAAATATCTATTTGCATCAAAATGTTCACGCTTTTTATTTATATCATCAGTTTTATCAGCCTGAAATTTCCCACAGTTCAAACAGAAAACATAACCTCACAATATGTGTGCGCTGACGCTGACATGGAACAGTAGAAATCTAGAAATACCCCAACCATTCTGAAGAAGAGAAAATACTATGAAAATCAAGAACGCCTATATGGCCTTCTTGATTTTCAAAGTTTTGTACTGTTCCGAGTCAGCGCTGTATTTTGAGGTTATGTCAAAAATATCTATTTGCATCAAGATATCTATGCTTTTGATTTATATCATGAGTTTCATCAGCCTGAAATTTCATAAAGTTGAAAAAGAAAACATAACCTCACAATGTGAGAGCGCTGCCACTGACATGGAACAGTAGAAATCTAGAAATACCCCAGCCATTCTGATGGAGAGAAAATACTGTGAAAATCAAGAAGGCCCCTAGAGTCAGACCTATAGACCTTCCTTGGAAACAATGGATCTCTCTTTGTGAATATTTTTTGAGGAATATTCAAAAGATGATTTAAATTTTCATTTCACAGTAGGTTGTAAGAGTGGTCATCACAAGCTGTTATCGATATCAGAAAGACTTTTCTTTGCTGACTGTATCTATTTAGCATTTTGATGATAAAATTGGGAGGATTTGGTTTATTTGTAAATGTCAATAAACGATGGTTTATTTGTAAATGTCAATAAACGATGCAAAATAATATGTTCGTTGCCTCGAATTACAGCGCAATCACAGAGAAGTAAAAAACTGCATATAGGCAACCAGTTGCAGCGACCTGCTCTGCTGCTATCTGCTTTTATGTTTAATGATTTGCCTAATATCTCAATCAAAACTTCTTTGTTTTCATACTCATAATTTATAATATAAAATTTGCGTATAAAAGATGCAGATGGTGATTTTTTTCATTTTAAAGATCCTTTTATTTATTTCATTTTGAGTCTCTTATAAAACCAAGCAATCTCGCATAGTTTTCGATAAAAAAATATTTTTTGGAGCTTGCTTCTAACAATTTTTCTCATTACATTAAGTGTTCTTTGCAACGTCTTGTTATGAGTAAATCATGTTCTGGTTTTTACTTTTAATTTTACTGTTTTTGCAAGAAAAACTACTAGCTAGAAAATCTACCTATTATTTCTCGCATTTTGATTGGTCCATTCAAATAAAACCCCGTCTTTTATGAAATAATAGAAATTGGCAATTCTACGAAAGATGTCATAATTTTAAAGTTCAAAGACAATGGACATCCAGAATGTACCTTTATTTATAAAACAACCACTTTTTTACGAATTTATTCAATATTTCAATAGAAATTACTGATATTAGGACAGCTTTGACAGCTTCCGTCAAATTTCCTAATTTCCCGTTAAATTTATTGGTGAAATCCACCCTCAGTGAACTTTATTCTTACTCAGCAGTAACAACAAAACTCATATTGTCAATCTTTCAAACTTTTCTCGGACCCCGCAGTACTCGAAGTTACATCGAGTACACTCCGACTAAACATCGTAAACACTGAAAACAGCCCTGCGTTTACTGGTATTTACATGACATTACAACAGATGTCGCTAAAAATACGTGGCAATTCCATTTCCATGGAATATGGGCACAACCTGTGGATAAAAAAGGCGTCAAGTAGATTGACTCTTTACTTATTGTAGCAGGGCTCGTGGGCAGTGTATTCTTAATAATGTCAGGAATAAAGACACTTTTATGAGCGATTAAACCGGAACTTCTTAACCTGTCGACTGTCAACGATCAAACGTAAAAGAACATGCCATTCGGCGAACATAAGCGCGCGAATTTCAAATTTACTACGACATTATCTACTTTCATTTTGAATCTAAAAGTTGACAGTAATATAAATAGTAATTTTGATACAACGAGATTCTGTTGAACTTATTGAATATTGGGACTGTATAAAAACTTACCCTCCGGCCAGATGCTCCTCCAGATCCTCGCTAGTCAGCGAACTGTCATCGCTGCCCGCCTCGGACAGCGCGGGCCTCGGCGACCTGTGCGCGTGCGCTGTGAGATCGGGCGACGAGGAAGCGGTCGATGAGTCGCCGCCCCCGTTGCTGCTGTTGCCGCCCAGACTGCGGTCGCCGCCCCCGGCGCAGTTGATGGCGCCTCCGGTGCCGCTGTTGCTGCTGCACACGCTCGCATTGCCGACGCTCTTCTTCGAGGCGGCTGAGGCGGAGGACAGGGTGTGGATTGAGCTCTTCGAGGTCGAACGGCCGCTCTGGAAATGGAAAGAGGATAATACAGTCGGAAAATAATATCGAAAGAAGTGAGGATAAAAATAATTTTGCTCATGCAGGTTTCTGGCTGTGGCTTTGAATTTGACTAGTTTTAACACGCTTTTATAACAGAATTTTTCAACATAATTTTCAGCAATCAAGAAGTCTGATTAATTTGAAAATTTGCGGAAAGGTCAAGAGCCGATCACAATATAATAATCTTGGGAAATTTGAAAATTAAAAAAAAATTGAATTCTAAAATTCGGAAAAAATTGGATTTGAAAATTCGGAAAATAATTTGAAGATACAGGAATTTAAATAAAAATATTAAGAAAGACTGCTTTTGAGAATTTGCCAAATCATTGGAAAATATTTTGAGGATTTAGAAATTTCGAAAAAAAAATAGAAATTTTTTTGGAAATTTTAAAATTTAAAAAATACACCAAAAATCTAAGGTGTTGATTATAAGTACTTTGTTGTCGTTTTGAGTCTAAAAATTCGGAATATGAATTATAATTAAAAAGAACTAAAAAACGCCTTAATAACAAATCGATCTAAAAAGTAAAAAACAATTTTCAAGTTTAGAAGTAGTTTGTTACTTCATTAGAAAATCAAAAAATCAATCAATATAAAAATTAAGATATTAACGAAAATTCAATTATAGTAAAAAGTACCTAATATTAAAAAAAAACATTCTAAAATTCGGTAAAAATTAGATTTGAAAATTTGGAAAATTCGGAATTTTTGACGAGATTGGTTTTGAAAATTTGCTAAACCATTGGAAAATAATTTGAGGATTTAGAAATTTTGAAAAAAAAATTTGAAAAATTGAAAAAGTTTTGGAAATTCCGAAATTTGAAAAATATATATATCTAAGGTCTTGATCATAAGTACTTTTGTTGCCGTTTTAAATCTAAAAATTCAGATAATGAAAAAAAAACATTGCATTAATAGCAAATCGAACTAAAAAGTAAAAAACAATTTTCAAGTACAGAAGAGTTTGTGTTACTGCATAGAAATTAAAAAAATCAAGTATTACTAATTAATTTATTTGGAATAAATATCAATATAAAAATTAAGATATTAACGGAAATTCAATTATAGTAAAAAGTACCTAATATTAAAAAAATGGATTCTAAAATTCGGAAAAAAATTGATTTGAAAATTTGGAAAATTCGGAAAAAAAAGATAGGAATTTTAAAAAAAATTGGAATTTTTGAAAAAAGATTTTTGGACATTTGCTAAAAAATTGGAAAATAATTTGAGGATTTAGAAATTTTGAAAACAATTTAGAAAATTTCGAAATGTCTAAAATATACCAAAAATCTAAGGTCTTGATCATGAGTACTTTTGTTGCCGTTTTGAATCTAAAATTCAGATAATGAATATATTAAAAAAAAACTAAAAATCGCATTAATAGCAAATCGAACTAAAAAGTAAAAAACAATTTTCAAGTACAGAAGAGTTTGTGTTACTGCATAGAAATTAAAAAAGTCAAGTATTACTAATTAATTTATTTGGAATAAATATCAATATAAAACTTAAGATATTAACGGAAATTCAATTATAGTAAAAAGTACCTAATATTAAAAAAAAATGGATTCTAAAATTCGGAAAAAAATTGATTTGAAAATTTGGAAAATTCGGAAAAAAAAGATGGGAATTTTAAAAAAAATTGGAATTTTTGAAAAAAGATTTTTGGACATTTGCTAAAAAATTGGAAAATAATTTGAGGATTTAGAAATTTTGAAAAGAATTTAGAAAATTTCGAAATGTCTAAAATATACCGAAAATCTAAGGTCTTGATCATGAGTACTTTTGTTGCCGTTTTGAATCTAAAATTCAGATAATGAATATATTAAAAAAAAACTAAAAATCGCATTAATAGCAAATCGAACTAAAAAGTAAAAAACAATTTTCAAGTACAGAAGAGTTTGTGTTACTGCATAGAAATTAAAAAAATCAAGTATTACTAATTAATTTATTTGGAAAAAATATCAATATAAAAATTAAGATATTAACGGAAATTCAATTATAGTAAAAAGTACCTAATATTAAAAAAATGGATTCTAAAATTCGGAAAAAAATTGATTTGAAAATTTGGAAAATTGGGAATAAAAAGATGGAATTTTAAAAAAATTGGAATTTTTGAAAAAAGATTTTTGGACATTTGCTAAAAAATTGGAAAATAATTTGAGGATTTAGAAATTTTGAAAAGAATTTAGAAAATTTCGAAATGTCCAAAATATACCAAAAATCTAAGGTCTTGATCATGAGTACTTTTGTTGCCGTTTTGAATCTAAAATTCAGATAACGAAGTATATTAAAAAAAACTAAAAATCGCATTAATAGCAAATCGAACTAAAAAGTAAAAAACAATTTTCAAGTACAGAAGAGTTTGTGTTACAGCATAGAAATTAAAAAAATCAAGTATTACTAATTAATTTATTTGGAATAAGTATCAATATAAAAATTAAGATATTAACGGAAATTCAATTATAGTAAAAAGTACCTAATATTAAAAAAATGGATTCTAAAATTCGGAAAAAAATTGATTCGAAAATTTGGAAAATTCGGAAAAAAAGATAGGAATTTTAAAAAAAATTGGAATTTTTGAAAAAAGATTTTTGGACATTTGCTAAAAAATTGGAAAATAATTTGAGGATTTAGAAATTTTGAAAAGAATTTAGAAAATTTCGAAATGTCCAAAATATACCAAAAATCTAAGGTCTTGATCATGAGTACTTTTGTTGCCGTTTTGAATCTAAAATTCAGATAATGAATATATTAAAAAAAACTAAAAATCGCATTAATAGCAAATCGAACTAAAAAGTAAAAAACAATTTTCAAGTACAGAAGAGTTTGTGTTACTGCATAGAAATTAAAAAAATCAAGTATTACTAATTAATTTATTTGGAATAAATATCAATATAAAAATTAAGATATTAACGGAAATTCAATTATAGTAAAAAGTACCTGATATTAAAAAAAATGGATTCTAAAATTCGGAAAAAAATTGATTTGAAAATTTGGAAAATTCGGAAAAAAAGATAGGAATTTGAAAAAAAATTGGAATTTTTGAAAAAAGATTTTTGTACATTTGCTAAAAAATTGGAAAATAATTTGAGGATTTAGAAATTTTGAAAAGAATTTAGAAAATTTCGAAATTTCTAAAATATACCAAAAATCTAAGGTATTGATCATGAGTACTTTTGTTGCCGTTTTGAGCCTAAAAATTTAAAAAATGAAGTATATTCAAAAGGAACTAAAAACGCATTAATAGCAAATCGAACTAAAAAGTAAAAAAAAATCAAGTATAGGAGGATTTGTGTTACTGCAATAGAAATTCAAAAAATCAAGTATGACTAATTAATTTGGAATAAGATCAATATAAAAATTAATATATTAACAAAAATTTAAATATAGTAAAAAGCGTGGGGTGATATCAAATGTTAGAATTACTTTTTAGTTGCTATTCACAAAATTGGAGTAATGGAAATATAGTTTATTGCACCTCACGCTTTTCATTAAAGAATCTTTATAAATCATAATTTATTACAAATGATAATTTTGCATTCAGACGAGTCCTTGACTACAAAAAAAAAATAACATTTGAAGGTTATGGTCAAGCTCAAATATCTAATCGATAAAATAACCTCTAAAACCATTAGCCCAAAAAAATTAATTCATTTAAAAAATGACCTTGAACGGCATGGTTAAGGTCAAGTTCAAAGTCACCGTCAGATAGCCAGCGAAAAATCCTTAGCTTATACTTAAGCAGAACTTCTTTTAGAGAGATTATTTTATCGATTTGATCTGAAGATATGTATAAAAAATGACCTTGAAGATCGATGTTAAGGTCAAATTCATAGTAACAGTCATATAGCCGGGAAAATCATTTTTCAGATCACTTCGACAAGTTTTTGGATTTTGTCGAACTTTTTGAGGATGAACTACAATGTAAACACGACCGTTTTTTACAAAAAACTGCTTATTTAATGGTTAAAGCGTTTTTTAGTAGAGCCCTGTACGGGATACTGATATAATTTTTTTGTGCTCGATGTAATTTTATTAGACGATATAATTTTTTCACAGTATGCTTTATACATACCGATGGTGTCGATTCCGATATCGTAGGTTGACTTCCTTTCTTCGATAACCTATCATGGTTATTCACTCCTAAATTGTTATCCACACTCTGGCTCGTCTTCACACGTGCACTCCAAGCTTTCTTCACCGTATCAATAAACCTGAAAAAAAAAAACACAAAATTAATCTTGGTCAAAGTTTATGCCCAGATTTTAAGAAGAAAAAAAATTAACTCAAAAATCATAACCGATAAATCCTTAATATAAACGATTCAAACATTTTTTCACAATGCCTCAATATTACGAATTTTCATTCAATGTGTTTGACAGCTGTCAAATAGTGGGAAACGTTTTTCATTTACCGATAACGGTACCCTATCAATATTTTATTCAAAATAATCTTTTTACCTGCTCCCAGGTCCCGAATCACTCTTCGGCGTCCCAGGCGTCGGCAAATTCCCGTTTCCTCCCAAAAACTCCGCCGTCTTCACTTTGAGATCATCCACCAGCGTCTGCAACAAGCTACTCCTCGTCCTCAACTCGAGCTTCGCGAACTTGTCCGCCTTGTAACACGCGTTCTCGGCGTTGATCAACTTGGTCAGGAGGAACTCCTTGAAATCCGCCCCCTTTCTGAAGATCGCTGGTGTAGGCAACGTTGGACCGAAGAACGGGACGTCGTCTCTAGCTGTCACGCTCACTTTGTACCTGAAAAAAAGAAGACACCATTGAAAAATTGAAAAAAAACAAAAAAATGTTTCGTCCGACCTTGGACACGAACCCGCGACCTCATGATCGGTAGCTTATGCTCCAGCGATACCGACAACTCAAAGATTCGGTTATGCTTGTGGAATTGGCATCTGAATTTACTTTAAACGATTACGAATCGAATATAAAAAGGGCTTCAGGATCTAAGGGTCCAAAACAACAGCAGACGTACTTTTTCTCTTTAAAAAGTAGTAAAGTCAGGGGCAATTTTATAAAAAGTTGTCTCTTTCGATGATCTCAGTAAAATTCTTGCGTGTGCCCTTGAGTAACCTTCTCAATGCACAAGTAATGAATTTCGTCTAAGGACTCCTTTAACTGTAGCACCAGCGTTGGTATAAACACGCTCTTAGTAAAATTTGCATCGGTTTTCGCGCGTTATAACGTTTTGTTTTCTTTGGCCGTCAGTCAGGAAGCGAAAGACGAGTGGAACGCTCGAGAAGAGAGTAGATAGAGAGCGCAGACCTTTCTTATTTAACTTTGAAAGGCGCGAAGGACCATCTGTGCTCTCCAAAAACTTCAGCGGCAAACATTATTTCTGGAACAATTAACTAAAGATAGAGGCGAAACAGACAGTAGAAAATTAGAGTTAGAGGCCGGAAGCAACGAGTTGTTTGTTTTGTGTTTGCTAATTTAATTCCCGAGCTTTATCAAGTCGCGAAAGACTACAAGATAGCATCCGAGTTCAGCCTCGGATCTGCTGTCAAGTAGAATGACTCCGTGGAATAAAAATAAAAGCAAATGAGCATGTTTGGAACATCAAACTGAACCGTGGTAATTTGATAGAATATTACAGGTTGCATATTTTTTTAAAATTTGACTTGGAGCTTCATAACAACATTTCAAAACTTTTGTTAATGTTTTATAAAAAACACATGCGCGCCGGCAGGAATTTTTTTCAGGGAAGATATAATTTTTTGTGAAAGTCAAGTCAAATCCTTAGAATCCTTAAGATTGTTCACAAAGTCATGCTAAGTATGCACATTTCGAGGTCCAACCCTATTCGTGAATATTTATCTTTGCCTTTTTGTGAAATGGAAAAGTGGGAGAACTCGGTCAGACACGCTCGTCCGCGATACCACTAAATATTTCTGTACACGCATTATAGCACAAACGAGTAACATGAAAACGAATATGCACGAACTTTCTAGCGTGTTATCGCGCGGAAAATTTACATTCAGACCGTAATTCAAACGTGAAAAGTGAATAACTTTTGTTCTCAGTGCTCTTTGTACACACTACTGCTGGCTCGTTGATAATTATGCGCTGCACAAAAGTTATGAATACGAAATGAAAGTTATTACTTGGGATATTTTCTGTATGTCGGTCAAGATGAAATTTTGCATGAAAATGTTTATAGAAAAATCACACTGAAAAAATATATCGTTTTTGGTCTGTTATCATTTTAGTACGAGGGAGGTCCGATAAGTACTTAGCTCACCGCCAGAAAATTATTATTATTATTAAAATGTACTACGTGACATATAAAATGCAACACCCAGAATTATTTATTCAATGAAAAACTGTTACTTTTTCGTAGCGTATCCTTAAAAGGATTTAATCAGAGTTCCTACAGCACAAGCAGTCCAAAAAGAACTACACTGTTTATTTCAAATTGAAATTTTGTCCCCAAAGAGTATGTTTGCACGTTTTATTTTAGCTACTAAAAATGCGATTCAAAATAAATTTTTGACAAAAAAGGAACAGGTAACATTGTATTTTAGTCCTCTCTATACAAAAAACAACTATTACAAATTTCAAAATTCCCAAAAAATTTTCAAAATTTAAAATTTATTTTCAAAATTTCCAAATCTTATAATCTAGAGATCCGATTCTTGTTGTATTTTACACTTGACAATAAATCTAAATTTACTTCCTTTTCTCAAATTTCAAAATTTCCAAAATTTTTTCAGAATTTACAATTTATTTTCAAAATTTCCAATTCTTCTTATAATCAAGAGATCCGATTTTTGTTATATTTTATACTTGACAACCAATCCAAGTTTACTTCCTATTCTCAAATTTCAAAATTTTCAAAAATTTTTCAAAATTTCCAAATCCTATGATCAAGAGCTCCGATTGTTGTCACATTTTATATTTGATCATAAATCTAAAATTACTTCCTTTTCCCTAATCTCAAAATTGTCAATTTTTTTTTCAAATTTCCAATTCATTTTCAAAATTTCCAAATCTTTTTATAATCAAGAAATCCGATTTTTGTTATATTTTATACTTGACCATAAATCTAAATTTACTTCCTTTTCTTAAATTTCAAAATATACAAAATTTTTCAAAATTTCCAATTTATTTTCAAATCTTCTTATAATCAGAAATCCGATTTTTGTTATATTCTATACTTGACAATAGATTTAAAATTACTTCCTTTTCTCAAATTTCAAAATTTCCAAAAATTTTCCAAAATTTCCAAATCCTATGATCAAGAGCTCCGATTGTTGTCACATTTTATATTTGATCATAAATCTAAAATTACTTCCTTTTCCCTAATCTCAAAATTGTCAATTTTTTTTTAAATTTCCAATTCATTTTCAAAATTTCCAAATCTTATAATCAAGAAATCCGATTTTTGTTATATTTTATACTTGACCATAAATCTAAATTGTTTCCTTTTCTCAAATTTCAAAATTTTCAAAATTTTTTCAAAATTTCCAATTTATTTTCACAATTTTCAATTCTTTTTATAACCAAGAGATCCGTTTTTTGTTATATTTTATACTTGACAATAAATTCAAATTTACTTCCTTTTCTCAAATTTCAAAATTTCCAAAAATTTTCCAAAATTTCCAAATCCTATGATCAAGAGCTCCGATTGTTGTCACATTTTATATTTGATCATAAATCTAAAATTACTTCCTTTTCCCTAATCTCAAAATTGTCAATTTTTTTTTCAAATTTCCAATTCATTTTCAAAATTTCCAAATCTTTTTATAATCAAGAAATCCGATTTTTGTTACATTTTATACTTGACCATAAATCTAAATTTACTTCCTTTTCTCAAATTTCAAAATATACAAAATTTTTCAAAATTTCCAATTTATTTTCAAATCTTCTTATAATCAAGAAATCCGATTTTGTTATATTCTATACTTGACAATAGATTTAAATTTACTTCCTTTTCTCAAATTTCAAAATTTCCAAAAACTTTTCAAAACTTCCAAATCTCATGTTCAAAGGCTCCGATTATTGTCATATTTTATATTTGACCATAAGTGTGAATTTCCTTCCTTTTCACAAATTTCAAAATTTTCTAAATTTTTCCAAAATATCCGATTTTTGTTATACTTTATACTTGACAATAGATCTAAATTTACTTCCTTTTCTCGAATTTCAAAATTTGCAACAATTTTTCAAAATTATCTATTTATTTTGAAAATTTACAAATCTTATGATCAAGAGCCCCGATTTTTGTCATATTTTATATTTGACCATAAATCTAAATTTCCTTCCTTTTCTCAAATTTCAAAATTTTCAAAATTTTTCCGAAATTTCCGATTTTTGTTATACTTGACAATAGATCTAAATTTACTTCCATTTCTCAAATTTCAAAATTTGCAACAAAAAAACAAAAATTTTCTATTTATTTTGAAAATTTAGAAAGTCTTATGATCAAGAGCCCCGATTTTTGTCATATTTTATATTTGACCATAAATCTAAATTTACTTCCTTTTCTCAAATTTAAGAATTTTCAAAATTTCCAATTTATTTTCAAAATTTACAAATCGTATAATCAAGAGCTCCCATTTTTGTTATACATATTTTATATTAGACCACAGATATAAATGTACTTCCTTTTCTCAAATTTCAAAACTTTTTAAATTTTATTAAAATTTCCAATTTATTTTCAAAATTTCCAAATCCTATGATCAAGAGCTCCGAGTTTTGTCATATTTTATATTTGACCATAAATCTAAATTGTCTTCCTTTTCTCAAATTTCAAAATTTTTCGAAAATTTCCAATTTAATTTCATAATTTCCAAATCTTCTTATAATCAAAAGATCCGATTTTTGTTATATTTTATACTTGACAATAAATCAAAATTTACTTCCTTTTCTCAAATTTCAAAATTTTCCAAAATTTTTCAAAATTTCCAGATCCTATGATCAATTTTTGTCATATTTTTATACTTGACCATAAATCTAAATTTACTTCCGTTTTCAAATTTCAAAATTTCCAAAATTTTTTCAAAATTTCCAAATCTTCTTATGATCAAGAGCTCCGATTTTTGTTATATTTCAGATTTGACCATAAATCCAAATTAACTTTCTTTTCTCACATTTCAAAATTTTCAAAAAATCTTAAAAATTTCAAATTTATTTTCAAAATTTCGAAATCCTCTTATAAACAAGAGATCCCATTTTTATTATATTTTATACTTGACAATAAATCTAAATTACTTCCTATTCTCAAATTTCAAAATTTCCGAAAAATTTTCAAAATTTTCAATTTATTTTCATAATTTCCAAATCTTCTTATAATCAAGAGATCCGATTTTTGTTATATTTTATACTTGACAATAAATCAAAATTTACTTCCTTTTCTCAAATTTCAAAATTTTCCAAAATTTTTCAAAATTTAAAGATCCTATGATCAAGAGCTCCGATTTTTGTCATATTTTATACTTGACCATAAATCTAAATTTACTTCCGTTTTCAAATTTCAAAATTTCCAAAATTTTTTCAAAATTTCCAAATCTTCTTATGATCAAGAGCTCCGATTTTTGTTATATTTCAGATTTGACCATAAATCCAAATTAACTTTCTTTTCTCACATTTCAAAATTTTCAAAAAATCTTAAAAATTTCAAATTTATTTTCAAAATTTCGAAATCCTCTTATAAACAAGAGATCCGATTTTTATTATATTTTATACTTGACAATAAATTTTCAATTTATTTTCAAAATTTCCAAATCTTCTTATGATCAAGAGCTCCGATTTTTGTTATATTCTATATTTGACCATAAATCTAAATTTACTTCCTGTTCTCAAATTTCCAAATTTTCAAAAATTTTTCAAAATTCCCAATTTATTTAAACAATTTTCAAATCAAGATCAAGAGCTCCGATTGTTGTTATATTTTGTATTCTCAAATTTCAAAATTTCCAAATATGTCACATTTATAATTAACAATAAACATAAATTTAGGTACTTGATACTACTACATAACAACCCCGTAAAGATCATTTTCACTTACCTTGTGTTTGGTGTGTTGGGCTCAATCGGTTGCACCACAATGAACGTATGCAAAAAATGCGACGCGATCATGTCAGGCGTAAACGGTGTGTTCTCCTCTTGGAACACTATAGCGACGATATCGTTTCCGATATGCCTCTTCCTCTGCAACTGTTGGGGGTCGTTTTCAGTGTACGGCAGCAACGTGGACACGTGGAACATGATTTCGCGTTCTTTGAACACCTCGTACACCGCCGTGTCGCCCGTATGGCCGTTTTGGATGTCCAAACCTCCTCGGTAACTGAAAAAAACAAACAACCGTCGTATTCCATACAACAACCAATAAATCTTATCAACTTACCCTTTGTGGTCTCTGAGTTGTATCCTCCGGCCCAGCAAATTCAAAAATTCGTCGAAAGCCGGAGTGGTAACGTTGTTGCAGAACAGCTCCTCCTCATCCGTCTGCCCGATTCTCTGATGCAGGACTCCGAATTTGAAGTAGGACACCAGCACGTGTTCGTCGTAGTTGGCTATGAGCTGCGAGGCTTTGGGGTGGAGCACCGGTGAGAAATTGTCCACGTTCAACTGTTCGTTCAATAGCTTGGCCATCTTTGCTGGGCTCGGGTTTGGCCCTGAATAGAAACAAAAAATTCTTCATTCTTAAACGCGGCTTCAATCTCTGAAGAAAAGGTTGGCCTTTAATATCCGCAGTAGTGAATACCGGGTGATTCAAATTCGACCCTTACAAACACAACGAGATCGTAGATACACATTTTTTTTTTGATAAATAAAATAACTCTGTAATGTTAAGTAAGTAAGATAAATAACATTTTTACGATTGTTTCATTGATATTTTAGCTATTGAAAATTCAATTTTCAACATTTCTTACCTAGACAAGATGAAGGTACTATTTCATGCATGGTTCCTGTCCTTAGCCGTAGAAGGATCCGTGTGTGTTCCTGATTCGCTACATTTTCTGTCTTTATCGACAACAGCACCGGTCCTAGGTGTTCATCGTGGCCTATAAGGGTCGAATGCTCCTGGAAATAATGAAAAACGAATTTGAAAATTCGTTTAAAAGCTGATTATGAACGCATTATTCCCTTAGCGCGGTACCGTAGCCCCAACTTACGAATATAGGAAAATTAAAATATGGTTTAAAAGTAAAAAACACGACTTAATAGCAAATCGGGCTGAAAAGTGGAAAATAATTTTCAAGTATACAGGGTGTTTCTGTTTATTGTTGCATAACTTTAAGATTCGATAGAACTTTTAAAATTAATGCATAAAGTCTATATAAACATGGGTCGAAAAATGCGTGGCTTCCGAAATACAGGGTGTTTAAATTTACTTTCTAAAATAGTTTTTTTTTAAATATTTCGAACAATATTTGATGTATAACAGTGAAAATTGGTATACAAGGGTTTTTTGGTACGACAAAACGAACCATGGATATAGTTTTACTGTAGCCGCTAGAGGGCGCTCTCTACTGTACCTGTAGTGTATTAAAATGACCGAAAAATTGCAACGAACCTTAAAAATCGAAATATCTCAAAAACGGCTAACTATAACGAAAACTCACAGGAGAGCTTTTTTATGCAGAAAAGTGCGAGGAATCAGTTTCTTAATCAAAAATCAAAAAATTGCACTAAGGAAAAATTTTCGGTCATTTTAATACACTACAGGTACAGTAGAGAGCGCCTTCTAGCGGCTACAGTAAAACTATGCTATGGTTCGTTTTGTCGTACCAAAAAACCCTTGTATACCAATTTTCACTGTTATACATCAAATATTGTTCGAAATATTTGAAAAAAACTATTTTAGAAAGTAAATTTAAACACCCTGTATTTCGGAAGCCACGCATTTTTCGACCCATGTTTATATAGACTTTATGCATTAATTTCAAAAGTTCTATCGAATCTTAAAGTTATACAACAATAAACTGAAAAACCCTGTATATGTATATGCCTAATGAATTTTGAATAAGATTAATATAAGATATAAACAAATAATTCAAATATAATAAAAAACCGCGGGATGCTTGATATTAGACGTTAAAATTAGATTTTTGGTTGCTATTTGCAAAATTGGATTTATTATGAAAATATATTTAATTGTACCATATGATTTTTTACTAAAATTGATATCTTAATTTTTATATTGATCTTATTTCAAAATTCATTATTCATACTTAATTGTTGAACGATCTATTACGGTAACAAACTCTTCTATGCTTGAAAATTATTTTCTACTTTATAGTCTGACTTGCTATTAAAGCGTGTTTTTTAGTTTTTCTTCAATTGCAATTTATTTTCGGAATTTCTAGCCTCAAAGCAGCAACAAAATTATTTATAACCAAGAGCTTCGCTTTTCGGTATCTTATATATTTTACAATGAACCTACATTAACTTCCAAATTTATTAAAATTTCAAAAAATTTAGAAAAATTTCCAAATCTCATTTTCCGGATTTTTTTAATGAAAAGGCAAATCTTCAAATCCAATTTTCTTCCAAATCACAAAATTTAAATTTTAAAGAAATTCTCAATTTCAAAGATTAGTGTATTGAGCCCTGTGCAAATTTTCATAGATTTCAATCATTCACATCTCCCACAAAAAAAAAAACAACACAAGACTCGTTCAAATGCTCTTATCAGCAAGCAGAAATAGTCGCCCAAAAAATGCCTGACGCTGATTCGTCAACCAATACGATCGTCTTTTCTAGGTCAACCAATAGGAATAAAGATGATTCTATTTCTCCGCGCCCAGCGCAAAAACAGGAAAGATCAGTGCGAACGCTCGTATCAGTAAACAGAGTTGTCCCTTATGGGGATTGGTCGACCAGTACGATCATCGTTTACGCTCTGTTTTGTCGGACTCACCAATACAAATCGTACATTTTACGACCATGCGACAGGTCGTGCAGTCGAAGCGTTCGCTCTTACTCAAGGGCCGACCCAGCTGGTGACGAGCCATACTTTTTCCTCCGCGTTTCGTCACATGCCAGTAGCCTGCTGGATCTCTTTCGGACCACGCAACCTGTCCCTTACAGCACTGCTGTCCTGCGCCCCCTGGGTAACTCAGACCACGGTGTTGTGGGTTGTGAAGGTTAGGTCGATCAGGACCCGCTGTGGCAGGAAAAACTCGCACAGGAAATTTGGCATTACGGACATGCCGACTGGGAGGGACTCAGAGACTTCTTATCTACCTTTCCTTGGAGAGATGTCCGCTTCACTGATGCGGACGCGTCGGCTACCTGATCTTCGATATCCGAAATTATCCACGTCGGAATGGAGGAGTACATCCCTCATACAGTCTAAGTGCCTAAACCAGGGTCCAACGGCTGGTTTAACAAATCGTGTGGCACTGCTCGCCAGCAGAAGATCAGGACACACGGAACTTTGTTGCAGAACCCCACTGTGGAAAATAGACTGGCCGACGTCGAGTCCAGAAACAAATATAACGAAGCGGTTCGCAATGCCAAAAACCAGCACGATATTCAAGTCAGGCACAGGGTAATGGACGCTGGCCAAGCAGATTGAAAAGAACTTCTCACACAGTAGCCTTCCACCACTTACGTGTCAGGATGGAACGGTTGTATTCATCTCCAAGGGCATGGCGGAAGTGCTAGGCAAGATCTTTGGTGCCAACTCCACCATGGACGTTCCCCCCAACGCCCAAGTGCCGTCAATTCAAAGGGTTCCTTACACTATGCGGGAGGTAATATTCAGGCATAAGGCCGCTAGCCGAGTGCTCTTGTCGCTCGACATAAATAAAGCTTCTGGTCCTGACTTGATTCCTGCCGAGACCGAAAAGCCAGCTGCAACAAGAAGAAATTTGGCCGTAGCAGCTGATGAGGCCAAAGAAAAGGGGAGAAGACCGACAATAGTTGTACATCCAACAGGGGAAAGAACAGCCCGTGTACAACGGGCGGACAAAAAGAAGCCTGTTGATTGAGGTGGCCAGAGTCAAGCACGGACTCGGGGCTAACTTTAGGAGACGAACGACTAACAGCAAATGACTGACTGACGACGACTGACTGACTCCAGTCGACGAGGAAAGAACGAAGGCTCACCAACCTTAATGCGGGGCTTAGGTCAAAGCCCCGAGCGCAGGACCTCCAAGAAAGAGGCCGTCCATAAAGTCCAGAACCGACAGTTGGAAGAAACGTCCACCACGTGCTTCCACGACGCGTGCGCGATCGGGAAAAAGAGGCAAAATTGGGGAGGGGGGTTAGCTGTTAGCTCGTTCGGCAGCACACACTCGGGGAATGCGCAGCGGCCTGAACCCCGCAGCGCCACGCCAGGCCTTCGGGCGGGAGAGGAGGGAGGAGCAGATTGCTCTTCCCCCCACTCCTCAAGGGTTTGAGGTTGCCTGGAACAGGGGTGGTGGAGGGACCGCACAGGGTAGGAGGGTGTGTGTGTGTGTGTGATTCCTGCCATTGTACCGAAGAGGTGAGCAGCGGAGCTTGCTCCAGTTCTTTCGCGTCTCTTCCAGATATCTTATGAATCCGGTACCTTCCCCGAAAACTGGAAATTTGCCCATCCCAATATAAGGATCTAAGACCGACCTTACAACTATAGGCCTATAGCTCTGCTATCTGTAAGTAAGGTGATGGAGAGGTGCATAAATCGCGAGGTTCTGGACTACCTCGAACGTCACAGCTTGATTAGCAACAGGCAGTATGGTTTCCGGCACCACCGAGCCACAAGGGTCCTCCTAGCTTACGTCATACAATTGTAGAGTAAACTCCAGTCTTATGGTGACGATCATGTTGTTGCTCTTGATATCACGAAAGCGTTCGATCAGCTGTGGCACGCTGCCCTCTTAAGCACACTTCCATCCTATGGCCTCCCAGAAAAGCTTTGCAGATGGGTGGTTGACTTCATCTCCGACCGCAAGACATCCCTCGTAATTGACGGGTTCTCCTCTTCATCCCGCAACGTCAACGAGGGTGTTCCCCAGGGAGCGGTCTTGGCTATCAACGACCTCCTTTCCTGCACGATCAACTCAATCCACAGCTTCGCTGTTGACAGCGGGAGATCAGAGTGACAAGCCGATCTCTGCCGCTGAGCTGGAAAAGAGAAGACTAGCGACGACTTCTTCTCTGACGAGAGACCTGGAGGTTATCACTGCTTGGGGATGCAACAATCTTGTATACTTCAATGCTTCCAAGACACAGTACTGTACTTTGACGAACAAAAAGCGTCCCTGCGCTCATCCGGTTCCGATGAATGGCCGAGTTCTGCCAAAGAGCCATTCAATTTGAGACTTCTTGAAACTGGTGAAAGTTAGGTTGAAAGGTTCTTTTTTTTTTCGTCTTTCTTATTCTGATGCCTTCAAAATGTTTTGGTATAGCTCGAAAAACATCTGAGACTTCTTAAAACGAGTTTTGAAAAAATTATCGGAGAACATCTCGAATTCGTAATTTCAGTTGATTATAATATTTGCTTACCAATTAGGAATGGTAGTGAGAGTCAATTTTTAAAGAACCCTTTAAGGTTAGCTCAAACGTCAATGCTACAGTTTCAAAGAGGCGGTTCTATTGTCATCCACATTACCAGAAAGGACAGTTCAAGAGTCCGTTTTCAGCTCAGAAGTGGGATGATAGTAACCATTGCCTAAAAGTTGGGTACTTCAAATTTGACATTACCCCTTCCCTTAGACATAAATCTGCAATTCTTTCTCTGACATTTGACGATTCATTTGCTTCGACATCAGATAACACTACCTCAATCATGGTATCAAAATAGCAACTTTGCGAATTTGGGAAATGTGCTCCCTGATGACACAGTACAGACAACATCCAAACTGTTGCGAGGTAGGGGTGATCCTGTTTACCGAAATAGCTTCTAATGAATCGTTTACCCCCAACAGTTCGCTGACGACGTTAAAACGCCATGACCTTTCCATGAAATGGCGATCGATGCTGATTAGCCAAATTGAATGAACACCGAAAAACGGTCGTATGTGGATCGATTCTCCCAGAAAATTTCCACGAGCATGAATACAGAATAATCCGTTTATCCTCGAGGTCAACCT